AGGCTAAGTGGGTAAGACGCTAGCTCGCTAGCCTGGAGGTCGGGTGTTCCATCCCTGCATTGGCCGAGAAAGTTCATCCAGATTTTCCGGCGTGGTTCTCCCTTGTCAGTGATGCAGGACTGAGGGGCATGCACGTAAAAGATCCCTTGGCAGTTGGAATTCGATATAAGAGTAGGCCGTAGTGCCGCTGTCCGGGCAAAATTTCCCTCATAGCACACTGTATGGCGTATGCCCGTCTTCATTAGCCCAGGTTAGGAGCAGAACAGTAGGACGTTAAACTCCATTTCATTTCATTTCATTTGACCCTATGTAAAAATGAGATGGGGTTTAACGTCCTACTGTTCTGCTCTGAACTGGGCTAATGAAGACGGGCGTACGCCATACAGTGTGCTATGAGGGAAATTTTGCTCGGACAGGCCCTCCGTCTTGCATCACTGACAAGGAGAAACCACTGTTCATTGACCCTATGAAAAGAACAGACTGTCCTGTGTAAATAATGTTCTTAGATAATCTGTAAATAGGATTTTAAATTCGAACTTTTTAAAGAAATAAAAAATTAATTCTTTTTTGATTCAGAAGGCCAACATGTGTTTTGTATACAGTGTTGTTATTTTACATAGAGAAACTTCCCATGCTTTAGACCATAAGGTCTGTCATTGAGCCAAGCTGCATGGTTTTGATCCCAAGTTGTATGTGGCCTGACCAAACTCGTAGGTTTTCTACTGGTCTTCCGATTTCCTCCCCACTACCAACAGCCCCTATGCTCAAAAAAATTATTGAAAAAAAAATTATACGATGTTAGTCCCGAAATGACTGGGTTTGAAACTGGAATTTCATTAGGATTTTCCAGTGTGGTGCAGGATGGGGGACCTAACATGGACAGCTGTCTAGTCATTCGGATGGGACAAAAAACCAAGATCCTGTGCCTACGCTCAAACAAATTATTACAAAAAAAATTGTACGATATGTTAGTCACGAAATGACTGGTTTTGAAACTGGAATTTCATTAGGATGGAGGTCCTGACATGGACAACTGTCTAGTCATTCGGATGGGACAAAAAACCAAGGTCCTGTGCACATAAAAGATCCCTTGCAAGATACCTTGCCACTTCGAATTCTATAAAAAAAAAGTAGGCCACAGTGCCGCTGTCTGGGCAAAACTTCCCTCATAGCACACTGTATGGCATATGCCTATCTTTATTAGCCCAGTCGGATTAGAACAGTAGGATCATAAACCCCATTTCATTTTATGTCTGTGAATTGGTTCAACTAAAAGTATAGAGTTTAAGTGTGTATTGATTAACTATATGTTGTATAAATATATCAGGTTATTATCTATGTATATAATAGTGATGAAGTACATGTTGATGTAGTGATAATATTACACATTATACATTTATTCATAAACTGCTGTCTGACTTGTTTACCACTAACAAATTTTACTACAAGTGATAAAACTCCGCTTAATGTTGCATTTGTTAATCAAAAAAGATTTTAGCTATAAGTGATAAAGCCCTGGTTACCCAGAAAGGGGCCACGGTGGTTGAGTGGGTAAGGCGCTGGCTCGCTAGCCTGGAGGTCGCGGGTTTTCGATCCCTGCATTGGCCGAGAAAGTTTCCCCTTATTAGTGGTGCAGGACGGAGGGTCTTACAAGGACAACTGTTTAGTAGTTCGGATAGGACAAAAAACCTGAGGTCCCGTGTACACATTGGCATACACGTAAAAGATCCCTTGGCAGTTGAAATTATGTTTTAAGAGTAGGCTTTTGTGACGCTGCCCAGGCAAAATTTCCCTCATTGCACATTGTATGGCGTATGCCCATCTTCATTAGCTCAGTCGGAGCTAGAAACAAATTTTTCTAGAAATGATAAAGGCTCGCTTATGTTGCCCTTGTTAACCAGTAGCAAATTTTACTATAAGCCCTGCTTAAGTCACCCTTGTGATCGATCCTATGCGATTGTATGCAACTGGAACTAGTGATCGATTATGTCGTCCTTGTGATCGATCCTATACGATTGTATGCATCTGGAACGAGTGATCGATTATGTCGCCCTTGGTGTTGATCCTATCCCATTGTGCGCAACTGGAATTGATGATTGATTATATCGCCCTTGTGATCAATCCTATGAGATTGTTTGGTAGTGGAATTGGTGATTGCTTATGTCGCCAGTGCACATTTAGTTGCATGTACATAGAGGATTTATGCAACTCAACCACCAAACGAATAACCTGATTTTGGGTCTGAATGTATCCATGACTAATGAAATGCATAATTTCTTCATATTCTAACTTACAATATAAAACAAAAATCAATATCTCATCAAACTATTCCACTGGAGTGTCGGGGGTTGGATGGATGAATGGTTAGCGTGCGCGCGCTGTATCATAAAGTCTGTCATTGAGTCGACTGGCGTGGTTTCGAATCCTCGGTTGTACGTGGCAAGGAGTAGGGTCGCCTGTCCAACCTCATGGGTTTTCTCTGGGTCCTCCGGTTTCCTCCCACTGCTAAAGACCCCTACGCGCAAGCAAATTATTGAAATAAAATTAAACCATATGTTATTCCCGAAATGACCTAGTTTGTGTCGAGTGGACGTTTAACCCCATTTCTCTCTCTCTCTCTCCACTGAAGTGTTTAGAAATCTGCCATATGGTGAGTCACGTGGAGAAGTCATCATTGTAACTCTCAAAGTAAGACAGGTGTCTTGGTGGCTCATTAAGAAAGACATTAGCTAGCTAACCTGTCATTTGCCACGAGAGGCCATCAAGATTTTCCTTCCAAGTTGTTTCCTCACTTTCCTCACTTGACCTGGCAAGCGACAATGTATAGTTGCTCGGATGGAACAAAAAACCAATGCCCTGTATACACATTGGAGTGCACGTAAGAGCATTGGCAGTTGGAGCACTACTATCCGGGTACATTTTCCCTCATAGCACACGGATTGGCGTATTGGTTAGTGCTAAATTATAAGGCCAGCTCAATTTTTCGTCATAGGTCACAAGATGTAAACTGGGCTAGCGTTAATCCCAACCCTAACCCTTGACCTAGCTCCAATGCTTACTCTAACCCCAATGATTACTCTAACTCAAACCTACAATATCGCTAACAATCACGTACCCTAACCTTATTTACGTCTTGACGACCTTGACAAAAATTGAGCTGGCCTTAAATAGATTTAAGCCTGGTGTAGCCCCGTCTTCATTAGCCTAGCCTCCACAGTCGGTTATATTCATGATTACAGGTTCAAGAAGTGGTCTGCTTCTAATTTTCTGTGTGTCCAATACATTAGTATTCATATCTGGAGAGCCAACGATGAGCTCTGCCTCTTTTCTGTATAATGAGAGCTACGATATAGCATCCAAGTCTCATCATGCTATGATTATCCAGTCACAAAGTCTATCCTACTGTTGGAATTAATTAATCTCAGTGAATGTGTGATGTCCCCAACTTTAGTTATAAATGCGTGTATGCCTGAAGTAACCAGCATTTATCGAGTAATGTGGAACGCTGCCTTCTAGGATAATTTGATTCTGGATAATGGCACCCTTGAGCTCTAACTCTGGAGGGCAGGAAGACTTTTTATTTCGTTAAGGCCAGACGTTTAAATTATTTGTTTTTCACAATCTTGTGAGGGATATTTTGTTGAACGCTTTAAGTCATAATGTCAAAAATAATGTCAAGAATTTGAACTAAAAGAAACAATTTAGGATTAAGGAGTTATGGGGGAGATGGTCTGGTTGAGTCAGATTAAAGTGTAAAAATATCCGAGGAAGGAAAACACTAAGCGATATTTTTTTTTTTTTTTTTTTTTTTTTTTTATTAAAAAAAACACTCTTCCAAGTGTACTGAACTGTAAGAAACGAATTACAATTAAAGGTCACCAGAAAGCTTCAAATTTCTTTTAAATAATGCAAGTAATTATGTCAACATGTCCTTTCGATAAGTATAACTTGAACCTAAATGTCAATAATATTACTTGCAACAGGTAAATTTCAACGTTAATAATTTCCTCCGTTCTCCATAAGTAGTGTTAACTTTCTGTCAATAAACAATCTGTAATGTTATTTTAGTCCTTCTGCTCATATTCTAGTCTATATTTGTATCAGGGGGGCAGGATGGCTGAATGGTTAGCGTGCGCGCGCTGTATCATAAAGTCTGTCATTGAGTCGACTGGCGTGGTTTCGAATCCCCGGTTGTACGTGACAAGGAGTAGGGTCGCCTGTCCAACCTCGTGGGTTTTCTCCGGGTCCTCCGGTTTCCTCCCACTGCTAAAGACCCCTACGCGCAAGCGAATTATTGAAATAAAATTAAACCATATGTTAGTCCCGAAATGACCTAGTTTGTGTCGAGTGGACGTAAAACCCCATTTCTCTCGCTCTCTCTATATTTCTATCAGCAGAAGGATCAAAATGACATCACAGATTGTTTCTTTACGGAAAGTTACTACTAACCACGGAGAACAGCGGATATTACTTTCGTTGAAATTTACCTGTTGCAGGTAATATTGACATTCGGGTTCGTGTTATATTTATGGAAAAGATATGTTGACATAATTACGTGCATTATTTAAAAACTTTATGAATCTTTTCCGGTGACCATTAAAGGGGTTATACGGGCGAGATGGTCTGGTAGAGTCTGGTTTAAAGTTTAAAAATATCCGAGGAAGGGACAAAATTAATCATGACATTGCAATATTGATAAAGGTGTGATGAGTTACTCAATAAATACTATTATTTATTTGTACTGATAACATTATTTGTGTTGTTACCATAACAACAAGGAAGGGAGTGGCCAATCAAACTTCAATATTTTAGTATAATGGAATCCATCTTAGATATTGATTCTTGCTATATTTGACTTGTGTTGAGTGTAAATTTTTAAAGCAATTAGATAGTTCTTGTATCATTGGAATTTTGGGGGGAGGGGGAGGAGTCACAACCCCCATGGACATGATTTTTAAACATTATAGTTTTCATGCACAGATAAAAAAAAGACAATAAGAAAATCTTATAAAATTGTTTATTCATGTTGCTACATGTGCATTTAATACTGTTCATATATACATGTAAATAATCCACATAAATCACCTGGTGTGAATTCAGTCAAATTAGAGGCCTATCAAATGTTATACAACTTGTAGGGGATGTTGGCTTGTTTATATAGAGATATTGCTGAATGTCGCCTATTTTCTTTTCTCCAACATTTTGTTAAATTAACGTCATAACAAATGTGCAAAGCATTGTTGCCATTTTGGCCTCTGATTTCCTAAATTTGATGTTCAACCCAGACTCCCCTCTGCTCAAATTCCTGGACATGCCCCTGTTTTTAAATAATACATGTACACTGCATGCAAACTAAATATTTATATTTTACACTTATTACCTGTTTGTCAAGTGATCACTTACTTGTTTATTTTTCTATATTTACAGAATGCAGCGGCGCCGAGTCCATTAGGTCAAATGCCGCCGCAAGATGGCATGCCAGGTGGTCCTATCCCACCCAGTTTTTTCCCTGTAAGTAAAAATATATAAAACATTTAATAAAATTCCATTTTAAATAAATATCATATTATAAATAAACAACCCATATTTTACAATCAAGTTAGAACATTATTCATCATTTATATATTATTATCAAATGCATGTTTTCAAGTCATGTTAACTATACTCCCATTAAATTGTGTAACTTTAAGAAGTAAAAAACATCCTAATCAGATCGCATTCATATTCGCTTCAGTATTCATGTTTTAAACGTCCATTATGATTTTAACATCGCGTTTTACATCTTGCATGTATCCTCAACATTTCTCTGTGAAAAAAAATTGGATATGATTTTAAAATTCACTCCATTTGAATAAATAATGTCCTTCCAAATTCCTAATTTTCAAAAACAATTGTCATTGAATGAAATATTTTTTGACTTGCGTTGACAGGGCGGTTCTCAGCCTTCCCCTCACCCCTCAGGCCCACACAATCCAATGATGGGCCCAAATCAAGTGAGTATTGTAATCGTCATCATATTAAGTCCATGCTCTGTATCAACCTTTCTATAGTCGTCTTGTTCAGAATCAATAAAGCATTTAAAGAATCAAAAAAAAAAATCGGTCAGTTATGATAAATGATTGATATGTACGCCTTGTGGTTCATTTGAAAAACGTGTACCACTGTATTAATGGACCAGGTACTGACTATGAGGTCATCGCTGCCATCTTGAAATTAATGACGACGTATCAAAAAGTCTGTCAAACGAAGAACAAGGAACTTCAATTAGTGGCGCCTTCAGCATTTTTCGAAGAGCTTTGCTCCCAAGATGAAAGAGTCATTTTCCAAGGAACACGCATGCCAAATTTCATGTCTATTGTACATGAATTGACGAAGCCGTTCGCTTTGTTTCGCAGAGCGTCGCCCCAAGATTAAGACAATAGAGGGCAACATTCCTAGTCAAAAACGACAGAAATTTACATGAGAATATCACTTTTTATTGAGCACTCACCTTGAAATGAGTAGTGATTGTTTCTTGTTGTATTGTAGAGATGCCTAATTTATTCTGGACTTGACAAATATTTGCCAGAGCATGAGTCTTATTCCCTAACACCAGCTAATGTATGTGTCGTACGTAATCCTCCTTTAGTTTATTAATGTCCATTTAATTTGCTTGATGTGTAGAAAACGTCCTGATTTTACACAACTTTTTAGTCTTTTATTTTGGTTTTTGTGTAGTTGTCTCCCTTCACCTATAAGAAAAAAACAAAACAAAAGTGAATTTTATTTGTTTATGGATATGTTCCATATTTGTAAGGGATCCTCGGTGCACCATACTGATTTGTTCAGTATTGTAAGGGCTTTTTTTGCTAAGATCCTTGGGGTGTTTTTGTTGAAGTTGTCTGTAGAAGGGGCTTTGGTTTGACTGGTGCTATCTCTACCTGAATAAGGAACTGTTTAAACACATTTATAACAAATCTTTCATTTAGGAATTTCTTTCTTAACAGCCCTTTAGGAATATCTTTTAACAGCCCTTTAGGAATATCTTTTAACAGCCCTTGAGGAATTTCTTTTAACAGCCCTTGAGGAATTTTTTTAACAGCCCTTGAGGAATTTCTTTTAGGACGACCCTTTACTTTAGGAATTTCTTTTAGGGTGACCCTTTACTTTAATAGGAATATCTTTTAGGTGAACCTTTACTTTCGGAATATCTTTTACGACGACCCTTTACTTTAGGAATATATTTTAGGGCGACCCTTAGAATATTTTGTAGGGCAACCTTTTACTTTAGGAAAATCTTTTATAACAGCCCCTGTTTACTGACAATCCGTACACTTTCATTTCAACTTAGTTTAGTATTCACTGCACTTAATATACAGGTCTACAAATATTGTTATAGCTGTACTCAAAGAAATGGCAAACAGTCTATGTGACAGGTGCCCAATGTCTAGGCTTGTATATATACATGTATATATAACATAACACATATAGTAGAATTAATGGTTTCTGTTCAAATTTAGCCAACTTTAACACTGTAACCTGGGTATAAAATTTAATCTTGTGTATCTAGCACTAATTTCTTTCACATTCATTTAATATCAATACTTTGTTTAAAAGTTCGTAAAAATCATTTAAAATAACCCAAAATCATCTAATTTGTACTTGTGTCTAGTTTAAAGCTGACTGATTAATTTTGATGAGTGTTCAATTTACAAGTATTTAATTTCCTGACCACTGTTCAAAAATTAATAATAATACATCAATCAATTGGGTTGTTTATTTTTTTTTTTAACAGTGATCGAGAAATTAAAAACTTGTAAATTGAACACTCATTATCAAAATTGAATGGCCAGCTTTAAACTGGACACAAGTACAAATTAGATGAATTTTGGTGATTTTAAATGATTTTTACATATTTTTAAACAAAGATTTGATATTGAATGAATATAAAAGAAATTAGTTCTAAATACACAAGATTAAATGATACCTGTATTACAGTTTCATGTCCTAACTATATATTCTATTTTTTTTTTTCAATTTAATGTATTTCGATGTTGTCACGTATGTTTTTAATATTGTTTGGTCGTTGTTTTATTACACCAACATTTAACAAGAATCCTTTTAATCTCTCACAAATCTTGTGAACACGTAATTTTTTTATTTTCATTTTATTGTGATCTTGCTTTTTATTGTCTTTTTTTTTTTTTTTTTTTTTTTTTCTTTTTTTTTTTTTTTTTAAAGAAGTCACATAGTTTTTAATAAGATAGTTCTTGATTGGTTTTGGTGATGGGAATTAAACAAAATTGTATTTTGAACTTGATACCTTTATGAAGAAGAACATTGGCATATAAAATTTTCATTTATATCAATTCTCAGACTTAGAGCCCTGGGGCTATATTCACAATCATTTAATCTTAAATATTTTAAGAATGCAGCTCATTCATTGGCCAACAGCTTAAATTTGTACAAGGGTTTCATCTCTCAACCAATGAAATGACTTCATCCAGAAAATATTTTAGGTGAAGTTTTTTTTTATCAAGACCCCCAGTTTTATCGTCTGTTTGATTTTATATTTAATCTTATGTTATTTGTCTGTTTTAGCCATTTATGTCACCACGGTATCCAGGTGGGCCAAGAGGTCCGGGTCCTGGGCCAGTTAGATTACCGAATCAAATAGATTTTAATCCAGTAAGTATCATTTCTTATGGCAGAATGGACCAGGCACAGAGTATAACATCATTGCAGTCATTTTGGAATTGTTACATCGTATTAAAAATCAAAGTCTGTTCATCGATGTACACTTGTCCAATGAACACGAAGGCCTAGGTTTGTCGATTGTACATGACTTGCCAGAACCTCATGTGTTTTGTCGCTCCCAAGAACAAGATGAATAGCGCTAGGGGAATTCCTGGTCCCCACCCACCACCGAAGTTTTAAATCAGGACTTTCAATGGGAGTAGGTGACTGATCTATAGTCAGAACAGCCTAGAATAGCAATAGACACAGGATGCTGGTTACCATAGTGACCAGTAACAATAGAATTATAAAGGAAATACATGTAGCATCAATGAAGAATTCACAAATCTCTCTTCTAATTCTTTGGATTTTTTTTTTTATTAGGTAGATATAACTAAGGGAAATAACTCTTGAATGCTTATTGAAAATGACCTTAAAATTGTTTTAAAGGGGCATAACTCTGTACAGCTTGTCAACTGATAAACTAGTTAGCTTATTTTATTTCATCGACAAAACATAACAAATTATTAATGACTTCTACTTTCAAGGAGTTTTGGGTGGCCGATTTATGGGAAAAAATTCATATATTAGTCCTGAAATGCACTAGTTTGTAAACTTTAAACCCCATTTCTCTCACCTTTCAAGTCTGTGAATGGTTTAATATTAAAATCTGTTATTTTTATTTTCAGCCACCTGGTAGTACGGGTGGTCCAATGCCTGGAATGCCCAATAACATGGATCCAAGACCAGGTGAGAATTGTACGAATCTACTTCTATTTTAAACACTAAATAGGCTCAATTCTTGCTCTTCAATTGACCCCTTTTATACAGTATGGTGCCGACTCACTAATCAGGAGATGGTTTCCCCTTAGCCAGTGACGGATGGCATGGCATTGTACGTCAAGTTGTTAGGATGGGTTTGAAAAACCGAGGTCCCAAAATACATATCTCAAGAAACAAGATCATACTCCCAAATTCCCTGAATAAAATCATAAAAGCACCCTAGAATTACAAAATACATACTTCAAATTCCCTACATAAAAAACCCTAAAACTAACATGTATAATTTTAATGTTTATGTTATACTATATTAAACCCCTTTTCAACGACACATATTGACTCACTTTTAATAGTAAGTACAAGAAAACAAAACCACACACAACCAAATAAAAGAAAAAAACTACTGTCACATGTTTGATAAAAATATAAAAGAACTGTCAAATCTGTAAGAGTCAACTGGCCTGTATAGTTACATGCCTCCAGTGATACAGGCTTCAAATCAAGGTGGCAAGACATTTACTCACTAACATGGAGGTCCCATGTCCGATCCCTGCATTGGCCGAGAAAGTTCATTGGGATTTTCTAGCTTGGTTCCTCCTTGTCAGGGGGGGTTGGATGGCTGAATGGTTAGCATTGAGTCGACTGGCGTGGGTTTTCTCTGGGTCCTCCGGTTTCCTCCCACTGCTAAAGACCCCTACGCGCAAGCGAATTATGTAAATAAAATTAAACCGTATGTTAGTCCCGAAATGACCTAGTTTGTGTCGAGTGGACGTTAAACCCCATTTCTCTCTCTCTCTCTCTCCTCCTTGTCAGTGGTACAAGAGAAACTGGCTGGCAAGGGACAATGTATAGTTGTTTGCATGGGAGGAAAAAAATCAAGGTCCCGTGTGCACATTGGCATGCACGGTAAAGATACCATGGCAGATGGAATTTGATGTAAATATTAGGCCATAGTGCTGTTGTCTAGGCAGTCTTCCTCCCCCCCCCCCCTTATAGCACACTGTATGGTGCATGCCCTTCTTCATTAGCCCAGTACAGAACAGTAAAAAAACAAAACAAGGTAGACAATACAGAAGTGCAAAACTTTATCATTTCCCAACAATTGTGTTATTGTGGTAAATATGATAATGGACTGTGAGTTAAATGGTACGAATAAATAAATTTAGTTTTAAAACTTTGATAATGTGTTTTGTTTTATGTTGATGTGTGTAACTTGACCAATATAGAAATATTAATTACACCATTTGTATTCAACTGGATGTATAGTAAAGAATATGTACTGACCGAGGGTCGATATCAAAATTGTATAAAGTTAAGAATGGAACATTTAAAATGAATGAGTGTTGGAAATCTTGATCAAATAGAAATTATACCAGTAACAAAATGAAGTGAAAATGCTGAATTACAAGGGAATTCTTTCTTGAAGTTGTGGGAGGGGAGGGCCACAGTAGTTCAGAATTAGGTCTTAGTTTTGAGAAGAAACATGGGCATTTTTCATAGCCACCACGGCGCCAGTGTACACATTGGCGATGGAATTTGTAGAATTGAGGGGGTCAACGGCGGTGTAACAGTAGGGTAAATGGCCCCTCGACTTAAATGTCCCAGTTTTGAAAGGAAACATTTTTTACACCCAGTTTTGAGAAGACTTTGGCAATTTTTTTTATACCCACCAGTGTACACACTGGCGATAGAATTTGTAAAATTGAAGGGGTCAACCAGGTCTAACAGTAGGACAGATAGCCCTTGACTTAAATGTCTTAGTTTTGTGAAGAAACATTTTTCATGGCCAGTTCTCAGATGCCACATGTAGATCTAAAAAGGTTTTGGAAATCAAGTGAATTATATCTAAGGTTTTTAAAAATGATTGTATCCAATTCATACACATTACCCCTGGAGTGATTATTTATTGGATTGCTTTCCCCATTGTCAATGATGCAGGTCTGAGAGTCTGACAAGGACAGTGCCTGGTCGTTCCAATAATATGAAAAACTGAGATCCTTGGAATTTAGGTGCTGCCTGGACAAAATTTCTCTTGGCACTATATGGCGTATGCCCTTCTTCTTTAGCCCAATCTGAACAGAACAGTAGGATGTTAAACCCCATTTCATAGTCGGTGTAGGATGTTAAACTCCCTTTCATTCATTGATTGTCTGGCCATCGTCACCTTTAATATATTAAGGCTTGTTTATTCATTAGTTTCGTTTATTCTTTAAAAATACTTCAGCCATCTCCACCCTGTTTATTCATTAGTTTCATTTAATGTTTAAAAATACTCTAGCCATCTCCAGCTTCAAGACACAATTTGATAGGTTTGTTTGTTCTTTATAAAAATGTATCTAATTATAGGCCTATATTGTCATAGCTCGGCGTGGTATATACTGTTATATCCCACTGATTGGAATCAGAATAGCTTTATGAATATCAATAATATCCGTTAATTTACACAAATACAACCAGAAAGCTGATTGAAATGATGAGTTGCTTTTTGATTGACAGCTAGGTTATGTTGATGAAACCCAGAGCAGACGTGCTGTATAATGCAATTACAATACTAAATTGAGCCTTTCTTTCACATTCCAACAAGCAGAATGAAGTAGCAATAATAAACACAAAAAAAAAAGTTCAATCAACTGTTAAAAGAATGCACTTTGAATTAAAAAGACAAAAGATATTTTTTTTTTTTCCTCCCCAACATTAGATTCCTCTTAATTTTTTCAAAAAAAATTGATAATTTCTTTGTTTGTTTTAGTAAACAACTAAACATTGAATATAACAAAAGAGATTTTGCCTTTCAAATTGGGGTTTGCAATTATTTTCCTCTTCACTTCAATTAACTAGGAAGTCATAGAAAAACTTGTATGTCGATAAAATACAACTAAAGAATTTTTATATTGAAAAATATCAAAGTAGTTTGTTAAAATGGGTCATTCACATCAATTGATAAAATAAGTAGTAATTTTGAATGGTTAGCAGACAGTCTTTGAATCATGTCTTTAAGGTTTAAGTGTTAAATTGGAATTCACAAACAAGTAGCCTGCAGTAGTCCTTGCTTCTTGACTAAACTGTGACTAGTCAAGTATACATACTAGCCCTGTACTTGCTTTTAAAATAAACTATATAGCAGGAGGGGAGAGGTTGTTGAGTGGTTAAACGTGTGCACTTTAAATCATAAGGTCTGTCAATGAGTCAACTGGCGTGGTTTCGATTCCCCGGTGGTACGTGACGAGTAGTAGTGCCGCCTGTCCAACCTCGGGGGTTTTCTCAGCGTCCTCCGGTTTCCTCCTAATGCTAAAAGGCACCTACGCGCAAGCAAATTATCAAAATAAAATTGAACCATATGTTAGTCCCGAAATGGCCTGGTTTGTGTCGAGTGGAACTAGTGGAGTGCCTAAAATCACGGTACTTGCTTTACGTTCAAGGGGGTTGGATGGTCAAATGGTTTGCGCGTGCGCGTTGTATCATAAGGTCTGTCATTGAGTCAACTGCCGTGGTTTTGATTCCCTGGTTGTACATGACAAGGAGTAGGGCCGTCTGTCCAACCTCGTGGGTTTTCTCCGGGTCCTCTGGTTTCCGCCTACTGCTATTGAAATAAAATTGAACCATATGTTAGTCCCAAAATGACCTAGTTTGTGTTGAGTGGAGATTAAACCCCATCTCTCTCTCTATGATTAAACTGGTGGTATTCAAGTAGCGTACTAACATGTACTGGCTGGATGATTAAACTATATAGAAAGCCCATTATGTTTTGTTAGGTGAAACTGAAGTCTGTCATGAAATGAAACTGTTTGTTACAAACATAAAAAATGACAAGTAATTTCCTTTGGTAGAGCGACTGGTTTAATCTGTTAGATGGGACTGAAGACTTGTAATTCCCAGCTTCCCTAACATAATAAACAATCAAACCAACTGTCATCTACAAACAGCTCCAGCTTTCAACATGATTAAGCTTTCATGAAGACCTGATAAACGAGATGAAAGCATTAACCCATACTTCACATAACGTGTTTCAATGCAAGATTGCTTGATAGATACAGGTGCACGAGATTTCAACCAACTTGTTGTACGGGAGAAATGCATTAAACTTTGCCTCAGTCAGATTGAAAGCCACTTATTTGAATTAATGTGAGATTTGTAATTATAGGGCATCTTAATTAAAGTTACTGAACGTCTTTTTGCATTTTTCTTTCAACAAAATTTAAGTTTTCATGAATGAACACATGCTAAAGTTCACTCAAATTGATTATTTAACGTTTTAATTAATCATGCATTATGCAAGAGCTAAATCTGCGTATCGCAGGTCTTTCTTTAGGCCTTAAATGTTATATAAACTATTAATTAGACTTTTGTTAACATGACAAGACCATAATCAACTCTCGATTGCATTGGATACTCGAGACATTAACTAGATTAGAACGGTTCGCCATTTAAGATATTAATTTAAAAATGGGAAAGCGAGGCTAAGGCTTGAATATATCAGTGCCCTGGTTACGACAATTCACACATTTTGTCAAAACTACAGTGATAACTTGGCTCAGAATGAAGTAATTGTTGAAATAAAATTGAACCATGTGTTAGTCCCGAAATGACCTAGTTTGTGTCGAGTGGATGTTAAACCCCCATCTCTCTCTTTAAGTTGAATACCACAAACTGTGTTGGTAATCATTGGTAATTATTTGATAATGTAAAAGAAATGAGAATTTTGAAACTGAAAGAATCTTAATTAACCGGTTTAACTTTGATCGATATCTTGTTTCAAAATATCGGGCAGCTTAGTGCATGTAGAAACTTTTCTAGAAAGAACTTCTCCAAAATTGCATCTGTAAATCAGAGTTTAAAAACTAAAACAGAAACTTAAACAGCTCATTATAAAGTCATTGTAAAAAAAACATCCTGGAATTCGAAACTATAATTGCGTTGAGAAAACCCCAAAAAAGATTGAAAAATGGGAATTGTAGGCATGTTTTTAATGTTAGTAATTTGTGTTATGTGCTGACAGTAATAGAATCCATTACCCAATAAATCAAAATATGAAAAAAAATCAACAAATTCTTGGAAGATTACAAGTCGAGGTAAAAAAAAAAGATCTTTTTAGTTTTCACAAAATTTGAACAACTGTTAGTATCATTGAATGATGTTGATTTTAACAAAATTTTAATGTTTTCTTGAAAGCAAAAGTTAATTTCTCGTAAGTGGTATGCTGTTCATATTAAAGGCATAGTCCCAGATCTCACAGGGTGCTCATTGATAAATGAAATTTTAATTATACAAGTTAATCCCCATAATTGGGAAGAAATAGTCCAAATAGCTTGTGTGAAAGTTTCAGTTCAAAATGTGAGGGAAGAGTGGGGGGGGGGGCGGAATAGTGCAACACATGCGTGTTAGATCATAAGGTCAGTCATTGAGTCAAGTGGCATGGTTTCAATTCCCCGCTTGTACGTGACGAGGAGTAGGGTCGCCTGTCACACCTTGTGGGTTTTCTCTGATTTTTATGTTATAGAATATTGAAATTCTATACTGGTAAATGGAATGTAAAGCCCTGTTTTTTTTTTTGTCAACAAACATGGTGCAGAAAGTTCTTAATGTGTGAATCCATTTTGTTTCAAATACTTTCAAAGTGATATCCATCCGTCGGTACGTCATCCACAATTTCTTGTGACCACTCTACCGACTACATTTATTATCTGATCATTTTGTTTGTCACTATCGGGATCAGTCGTGAAAAGCTCAATTATTTTTATTGTATCTTAGCGATATTTTGTTGTATTAAATGAAAGGTGTTATTAGTTTAAAGTTTCTATTTATCAAGTTAAATCTAGTGAGTATTAAAGTCTTTTTATTGTTAAAGGATATTGCACAATAATTGAAGAAATTTTAACCGACTAGACATGTTGATTTATATGACTAGATACAGAGACGAGATGAATTCTAGAATATATCTATTGTGTTCATGTTGTCTATAATAGAAAAAAGATACCACATTCATTGTGTTATTGTAATCTGTGAAGCGCTATAAAAATGTCAAAAATGTATTGTTGAGGTAATAGTATACTGGGGAGAAGCACATAACAGGCAAGAAGAGAAACAAAACATGAAATCTTATAAAAGTGCTGAAGCCCATCACAACATTAATTTTCTTGGAATAGAGACCCATCAATGTCATGGAAAACCCAAAGAATATCTTTAATTGACATGTTACTGAAATAGCACAAAGCCAGGCCTGGAAATAACGATTTTAGATTTAATGAAATAGTACCTGACATTTTCAACTTAGTGCTGAACATGTATTAATGATATCAATAAAAAAAAAGAAGACAAATCGGTGCCTGACAAAGCCTGTATTTGGATCTGACATTGTCTGTGACCGGTGCCTCATTTCCAGGCTTTCACAATGGTTAAAACACAGTACTTGGGTTTTCCGTTCCATCCAGACAACTGGACAGTTTCTTTTGAAAGGCCCTCCCAAGCAAATATATTATTGGCATGTAAATGAATAAAGAGCTATGTCGATGGTTTTCTTTCCCATCCAAACAACTAGATGATTGTCATTTGCCAAGCCCTCCCATCCTGCACAGGGGGGTTGGATGGCTAAATGGTAAGTGTGTGTACGTTCTATCATAAGTTCTGTTGTCGAGTCAGTTGGTGTGGTTTCGATTCCCTGGTTGTAGGTGACGAGGAGTAGGGTTGCCTATTCAACCTCGTGGGTCTTCTCCGGGACCTCCAGTTTCCTCCCACTGCTAAAGACCTATACGCGCAAGTGAATTATTGAAATAAAATTAAACCATATGTTAGTCCCGTAATGAACGAGTTTGTGTTGAGTGGATGTATGGGCTGTAAACTCCAAACAAACTTTCAACATACATGATTGCTGCCCTTATGTTATCCGGTGGAACAAAATAGAAATCATATGGTTGCTTGATTTATGTTCTAAATCTTTTAACATCGACTGACCTTTCAATCGGATCAGTGTTCTTTGTACTGCTATACATAGTTACTAGAATATTAAAAGCTAAAATGTACAGAAATTGATCTTACCTTTTGATAACACTTGTTGATTGCCGCTAGAGGTTTCCAATGTATGTACCAATGGTATAGAGTATTACACACAAGTTTGAACTGATTCTTAACGGTTTTTCACAATTCAATTGAATATAGGTATCCAATAGGGAAACAAATTACACAATATTTCACAGTCCAAATGAATATGGGTATCCAATGGGGAAACAAATTACACATTTGAATATGTTCATACATAACTCTTTCACTATCCAAATGAATGAAGATAATATCCAATAATGAATGCTTCACATCTAAAAAAATTAGTCATGAAGAAAGTCTTTCACATCTAAATAAAATCTTAATGAGTTATTGTTAAAACAAACAATATCTGCCGGCTCTTGTTTCTTCATTTCTTTACTACTGGTTCTTTGGTTGAACGAGAGAGATAATAGCCAATAGCCCGTATAATCTTACAGCATTACTGGTTGATGGCCTACTGTTTTACTCTATTAGATTCTGATGTTATTCATCTATGGTGAGACCATGCTGTATGATATTATTGTATTACTTGATCGACTGCTCTCTCTCTCTCTCTTGTTAAATTTCCCACTTTTATGGGATGAGGAACAGGGTTGACTGTCCAATCCTATGAGTTTTCTCCACGTCCCCGATTTCCTCCCACAGCTAAAAACTCTTACACACATGCGAATTATTGAAATAAAATTAAACCATGTTAGTCCCGAATTGATCTAGTTTGTGTCCCCACCTTTCTCTCTCTCTCTGTCTGTCTCTCTCTCATAACATGCCTGCTATTATTAATCTTAGATAGTCTGTTGATTGAAAACTCTTGAATGAATATTAAAACAACTTGATTGGCTCCATCTTCAACATTTGGTAATACTAGGACTTCTGTATTTCATTTTAGCTGACGTCCATCGAAGGCTTGTTTGTTGATGAGCAAGTTTTCACGGAATCCTGATACCTTGTTCCTATTGAACGTAGAAATATATACTCCTGTTGAATATGAAATATTTTATCGCAAGCAACATTTGTTGAAACTTCAATATTGAACGTAGAAATATATACTCCCGTCAGATGTGACTTTTCTTTTATCACAGACCACATCTATTTCTTATAAGACACAGATATCTTACAAAACATTTTGTTGAAAACATGATATCTTGCTTGTATTGAACAGATAGAAATATATATATAGGCCTACTCCTGTCAGATATTTTACAAAACATTTTGTTGAAACCATGATATCCTTATTTATATTGAACATAGATAGAAATCTATATACTCCTGTTAGATGTGAGTTTACTTTTATCACAAACACATCTATTCCTCTAAGACACGGATATTTTTACAAAACAATTTCAGACGAACTTCAGGAGGGATTTACAAGCCCTGTATATTCCTTCAACAGAGAGAATGGTTTGCATTTTCACTTCAATACAAGTACATTCTACTATTTTTTTCTGGAATCAAACAGAAGTTTTTGGCTGTTTTTTTATGGTAATTCCCACATGTAATTTGTTATTATTACAAGAACTAGCTGGTTGAAGTGGTTTGCCAGATGTTCAAGTCTACACATGATCACCCACTCAACCGACCAAAAATCACTTATATTTTCTTAGTCTTCCATATTTACTCAAAACGTGATGATTCTTTGTTTTTATTCGTCGTCTCCTCTCGATCATCTGTAATTAAAACAAAATAATATTGTAATAGGTAGAAATAATGAAATTAAATACCAGGCTTTAATTAAAATAAATCATCTTAAAGGATTGCATGTCACGTTTCAATTAGAAATATCACGTAAGTTCTTTTTGATATAATAATAACAAAATCAAACGAATGAAAAAACAACAAAACAAATCAATAGAAAACCATTCTAACCTTGTTTTAATTGATCAGTTTACCAAGACTGATCAAAACACGACTGATTCATATAAAAAGAACAAAATCTTAACAATTTACACACTGGATAAGACATTGTATTTTAAACCTATCCTCTTCTTATTTCATGTTCCCCCCCTTGCCAGTGGTGCTGGACAGAGAGCCTGACAAGGACAGCTATCTAGTTGTTCGGATGGGACAAAAAACTGAGGTCCCGTGTATACATTGGCATGCACGTAAAAGATCCCTTGGCAGTTGGAATTCGATATAAGAGTAGGCCATAGTTCTGATTCCCGGGCAAAATTTCTCTCACAACACACTGTTTGCCCGTCTTCATTAGCCCAGTCAGAGCACTATGTTCAACTCCCATTTCATTTATGTTTTGGTCCACAACAAAACATCAAACCAACATTGACTAGCGTAAAACTGTGTTTTATACTTGATCCGGTCCACTTATACATTGGTTATAACCTAGACTGTATTACTGTAACCCAGGTATCATTTAATCTTGTGTATATAGCACTAATTTCTTTCACATTCGTAAATTAGACATTCATTATCAAAATTAATCAGTCAGCTATAAACTGGACACAAATACAAATTAGATGATTTTTGATGATTTTAAACGATTTTTACGAATTTTCAAAAAAAGATTCGATATTGAATGAATGTGAAAGAAATTAGTGCTAGATACACAAGATTAAATGATACCTGGGTTACAGTAATATGCTAGCGTAAAACTGTGTTTTATATTCGATCCTGTCCACTTTATACATTGGATATAACCTAGGCTGTATTTTATACGAGTAATTTATCTTCTCCGCTATTAATTAGACTAATGTTTGATCAGCACTAAGAGATTCAAGTACTCACATTTCACAGCAAACACCCTGCCCTTTGAAATTTATTCTTGCAAACTTCAAACACTGAATGAGCCCGCCATATTTTCTTTTAATAAAAAGAAAATCTGGCCCGAAATTACAGAGCTCGTAAATCAAATATATTGAAGAATATTAGTGGTGGGAAATATAATATATTACCATCCTAGCTATATTATTATTAGTTATTTCTTTACCTGTCAACACGACTTAAAAATGATTAATAATATAGCGAGAAAACATGCCAGGGTTTGCTGCATAAATAACTTAGCCATATTATAAAAATAGTTGTAAAGAGTTGGATATAAATAAGTGCTTAGAAGAGACAAGATCAATTTGATTGAAGTTGACAGGTTTGCAAATGAAAGGATAGATGTAATCCTAGAGATTGAAGTTTTTGCAGGATTTATTCTTAAGCATATTATCAATCCAATTTAATTAAAATACAGATGTATATTTCGTTTTGAGGTCCCGTGTACACATTGGCGTGCACGTAATAGATCCCTTGACAGTAATTGGAATTTGATATAGGAGTAGGCCGTAGTGTCCCTGTCAGGGCAAAATTTCCGTCATAGCACACTGTATGGCGTATGCCCGCCTTCATTAGCCCAGTTCGGAGCAGAACCCCATTTCATTTCATTCATGTTTCGTTATTTTATGCTTTCGATGGCCTCTACTACATGAAATCTGACCAGTTGTAGTGGGAGATTGCGTCAGAGGTCATACGATTTCCAGTTCTATTCCCTGTTAGTACATGACAAGGAGTAGGGTCGCCTGGGTTTTCTCCGGTTTCCTCCCACTGCTAAAGACCCCCTACATGCAAGCGGATTATTGAATGAAAATTGAACCATATGTTAGTCCTGAAATGACCTAGTTTGTGTTGAGTGGATGTTATCTACCCTCTCTCTTCTCTCTCTTAAACATTAACTATGTTCATGGATATTTTGGAAGAAAATCAGGAAATTCTTGTCAAAACATTAATTACTCCTAACTTCACTCAGAATAAAGTAATTTGACTGAAATTTTTAATATATTCTTTTTACATTATTTCTTTTGAACTATTCTAGTTACAACAGGTGGCTGTTTATCTAAATCTTACATAATGCATCTTTAATGCCACTTTAAGATTATTTTCATATGTAATATGGATATTTTATTAGCAAGGATATTTTGTCATGGTGATCTGAATGATTTGGTTGTTAGGTTATTTTCTATAAGAGTGAACTTACCTTGTCATGTGTCAGTGATTCATGTACTTGTAACATATCCAATTCTTATGTTATAATAAATCTTCACATCTCTATGGTGTAAGGTAACTTATTTACTCCTTCATAACACACACGAGAAGATTTACCATTGAGTGGTTTCTCTATCTATTAACAATCCTTGTATCTCTCCCTAGTAGAACTTCTTTTCTCCATAACACACAAGGACAGATTTACTATTGAATGGAGGTTCCTCTCTCTCTCTCTCTCTCTCTCTCTCTCTCTCTAACCCTTTATCTACCTAGTAGAACTTCTTTTCTCCATCAATAATCCTTGTATCTTTCTCTAGTTGAACTTCTTCTCTAGGTTTGCCATCTGTAAAAGAAAGTAAATTAAATCGGTCTATGTTATAACTGGGCCTTTTGAGAAATGACTCGCGATAACCTAGCAACACAACCATACCATTTCCCCTTCATACCAATTTGGCATGGCTCAATCTTTTTTAAATGCCTGAGTGAGTTGATGTAGTCACGTTAGATTTATATTGTTCCCATATCAATTGCCTCAGACAGATATCCTCACAGAAAACCCGACTCCTCTCGTCTTCAACTTGTTTGATTTATCTTGAGTAACGATTGCCTGTATTTTTCCAACCACGGTTATGGTGTATCAGTGTATTTCTTCTTGAGGTTAATCTGCAATGTTTACATCCCAGTGAAAACCATTCACTAGCTTTTTGTCCGAGCTTTTGCCTCCTGATTAGATTTCTTTAATACATGCCTGGTGTTGATTCCCTTGAAAACAAATTACATTAACTGCTCCTCGGTGTTTTTTTTGTAGGAGCTTTTGTGATGATTGAAGGGTTTAGTTTAACACTTCATGAAAGAGAGGGTGAATAATCCAATTGAAATAAATGGTTCATTTATCATCTCTTTTACAATATGAGAGCCGCAATGTATCAGCAGACTCTGGCTCACTGAACTGTTGATTTGTGATCTTCTTTACAATATGGGAGCCGTTGTGGCTCAGGGAATAAGGTGCAGGCTCATAACCTAGAGAGAGAGGGGGGATGGCCGAATGGTTAGTGCATGCGCGTTGTATCATAAGGTCTGTCATTGTATCAATTAGCGTGGTTTCGATTCCCTGGTTTTAGGGTTGCCTGTCCAACCTTGTAGGTTTTTTTCCGGGTCCTCCGGTTTCCTTCCACTGCTAAACACCCCTATGCACAAGCGAAATATTGAAATAAAATTTTACCATATGTTAGTCCCAAAGTGACCAAGTTTGTGTCAAGTTTTTTTTAACCCCATTTCTCTCCTCTGTATATATTGTCGTGCACAATAAAAAAAACTTTCAATTGCTGTCTAGGCGAAATTTCCTCATAGCACACTGTATGGTGTATGCTGTCTACATTAGTCCAGTCTGTGCAGAACAGTGATAAAGTGGACTGGATGCTAACCAATCAACTAACAATCTCTCTTTACTTGTAAACAAAAACAACCCACGCATATACACAACACCTAATCTACCTTAGATCTAATAGTGAAAGACTACTGACATCTTTTATACATCAGCTGTCGTGTGCAATATTTACAGCCTTTTTACTTTATTCCAATTATATAAACCTGAATATACATGTACTGTCACTATAATCTATAGACAAATATAATAGGACTTTACCAGGGATTGAAATTACATACCATACCACAATCAATCGAATTCACTTTGACGTAAATTTCAATGATTTTCATCATGTACCACTGTATTGCTTTTCACTGTGAGAGACGGGCAGCTAATGAGCCCGCCATATTTTCTTTTAATAAAAAGAAAATCTGGCCCGAAATTACAGAGCTCGTAAATCAAATATATTGAAGAATATTAGTGGTGGGAAATATAATATATTACCATCCTAGCTATATTATTATTAGTTATTTCTTTACCTGTCAACACGACTTAAAAATGATTAATAATATAGCGAGAAAACATGCCAGGGTTTGCTGCATAAATAACTTAGCCATATTATAAAAATAGTTGTAAAGAGTTGGATATAAATAAGTGCTTAGAAGAGACAAGATCAATTTGATTGAAGTTGACAGGTTTGCAAATGAAAGGATAGATGTAATCCTAGAGATTGAAGTTTTTGCAGGATTTATTCTTAAGCATATTATTAATCCAATTTAATTAAAATACAGATGTATATTTCGTTTTGAGGTCCCGTGTACACATTGGCGTGCACGTAATAGATCCCTTGACAGTAATTGGAATTTGATATAGGAGTAGGCCGTAGTGTCCCTGTCAGGGCAAAATTTCCGTCATAGCACACTGTATGGCGTATGCCCGCCTTCATTAGCCCAGTTCGGAGCAGAACCCCATTTCATTTCATTCATGTTTCGTTATTTTATGCTTTCGATGGCCTCTACTACATGAAATCTGACCAGTTGTAGTGGGAGATTGCGTCAGAGGTCATACGATTTCCAGTTCTATTCCCTGTTAGTACATGACAAGGAGTAGGGTCGCCTGGGTTTTCTCCGGTTTCCTCCCACTGCTAAAGACCCCCTACATGCAAGCGGATTATTGAATGAAAATTGAACCATATGTTAGTCCTGAAATGACCTAGTTTGTGTTGAGTGGATGTTATCTACCCTCTCTCTTCTCTCTCTTAAACATTAACTATGTTCATGGATATTTTGGAAGAAAATCAGGAAATTCTTGTCAAAACATTAATTACTCCTAACTTCACTCAGAATAAAGTAATTTGACTGAAATTTTTAATATATTCTTTTTACATTATTTCTTTTGAACTATTCTAGTTACAACAGGTGGCTGTTTATCTAAATCTTACATAATGCATCTTTAATGCCACTTTAAGATTATTTTCATATGTAATATGGATATTTTATTAGCAAGGATATTTTGTCATGGTGATCTGAATGATTTGGTTGTTAGGTTATTTTCTATAAGAGTGAACTTACCTTGTCATGTGTCAGTGATTCATGTACTTGTAACATATCCAATTCTTATGTTATAATAAATCTTCACATCTCTATGGTGTAAGGTAACTTATTTACTCCTTCATAACACACACGAGAAGATTTACCATTGAGTGGTTTCTCTATCTATTAACAATCCTTGTATCTCTCCCTAGTAGAACTTCTTTTCTCCATAACACACAAGGACAGATTTACTATTGAATGGAGGTTCCTCTCTCTCTCTCTCTCTCTCTCTCTCTCTCTCTAACCCTTTATCTACCTAGTAGAACTTCTTTTCTCCATCAATAATCCTTGTATCTTTCTCTAGTTGAACTTCTTCTCTAGGTTTGCCATCTGTAAAAGAAAGTAAATTAAATCGGTCTATGTTATAACTGGGCCTTTTGAGAAATGACTCGCGATAACCTAGCAACACAACCATACCATTTCCCCTTCATACCAATTTGGCATGGCTCAATCTTTTTTAAATGCCTGAGTGAGTTGATGTAGTCACGTTAGATTTATATTGTTCCCATATCAATTGCCTCAGACAGATATCCTCACAGAAAACCCGACTCCTCTCGTCTTCAACTTGTTTGATTTATCTTGAGTAACGATTGCCTGTATTTTTCCAACCACGGTTATGGTGTATCAGTGTATTTCTTCTTGAGGTTAATCTGCAATGTTTACATCCCAGTGAAAACCATTCACTAGCTTTTTGTCCGAGCTTTTGCCTCCTGATTAGATTTCTTTAATACATGCCTGGTGTTGATTCCCTTGAAAACAAATTACATTAACTGCTCCTCGGTGTTTTTTTTGTAGGAGCTTTTGTGATGATTGAAGGGTTTAGTTTAACACTTCATGAAAGAGAGGGTGAATAATCCAATTGAAATAAATGGTTCATTTATCATCTCTTTTACAATATGAGAGCCGCAATGTATCAGCAGACTCTGGCTCACTGAACTGTTGATTTGTGATCTTCTTTACAATATGGGAGCCGTTGTGGCTCAGGGAATAAGGTGCAGGCTCATAACCTAGAGAGAGAGGGGGGATGGCCGAATGGTTAGTGCATGCGCGTTGTATCATAAGGTCTGTCATTGTATCAATTAGCGTGGTTTCGATTCCCTGGTTTTAGGGTTGCCTGTCCAACCTTGTAGGTTTTTTTCCGGGTCCTCCGGTTTCCTTCCACTGCTAAACACCCCTATGCACAAGCGAAATATTGAAATAAAATTTTACCATATGTTAGTCCCAAAGTGACCAAGTTTGTGTCAAGTTTTTTTTAACCCCATTTCTCTCCTCTGTATATATTGTCGTGCACAATAAAAAAAACTTTCAATTGCTGTCTAGGCGAAATTTCCTCATAGCACACTGTATGGTGTATGCTGTCTACATTAGTCCAGTCTGTGCAGAACAGTGATAAAGTGGACTGGATGCTAACCAATCAACTAACAATCTCTCTTTACTTGTAAACAAAAACAACCCACGCATATACACAACACCTAATCTACCTTAGATCTAATAGTGAAAGACTACTGACATCTTTTATACATCAGCTGTCGTGTGCAATATTTACAGCCTTTTTACTTTATTCCAATTATATAAACCTGAATATACATGTACTGTCACTATAATCTATAGACAAATATAATAGGACTTTACCAGGGATTGAAATTACATACCATACCACAATCAATCGAATTCACTTTGACGTAAATTTCAATGATTTTCATCATGTACCACTGTATTGCTTTTCACTGTGAGAGACGGGCAGCTAAATGTTGTGAGATTGTCATCAGCCTGTTGTCTATTTCGAGAAGTAGTTCTACTCCAGTCCGAGCTCCTGAAGGGTAGGCCTATATGTGGTTTTATGAAGAAGTAATGATTTTGTTGGATGTGGTTTCATCGAAGGAGTTGAATTAACTGGAGATAGTAGACTAATATGGTGATGTTGTTATTAGATTGACTCATGTAGGTAGATAAGATCTGGCCATTATTATCAATTCATTACAACAGGCATTAAGATAAAACTTGTTGTGAGCTATAGGTTAATGTACCCCCCCCCCCCCCTCGTGTAGACTTAGTATCTTCCTGTACTTGACAATAGAGACTATCTTGTGAAAACTTGAAACCCTTATAACTTTGCTCAGAATAAAGCAATTTGACTGCAATTTTCAATATATTAATTTCTTATCTATTTTTAAACTATTATAGGAAGAATGTCCAACTCTTTATCTATTTTGAAGACTCCCCTCGTGTAAACTCAGTATTTCCCCGTCAATGTACATGACAATCCAGACTATGTTGTGAAAACTTAAAATTCTTATAACTTCGCTTTGAATAAAGTAATTTGACTCAATTTTCAACACAGTCATTTTTCATTATCTCTTTTCAAACTGTTATAACAAGAATGTCCAGCTCTTTATCTAAATCTTACATAATTCATCTTTAAGGGTCTCCAGTGTTTCGACTTAGTATCGCTGGGTAACTATGTTATATAGACTGAAAGGTCTTACAACACAGCACTACATGTTTCTATCAAAGTTACAAAAGAATGTGAAGAACAGTGGCATGTTAATGCATTTAAGCCATTGAAGGATGTTTTGGAAAGACAGAAATTTGTTTGACAAGTTTATTGATATAACATTGGTTTTTTTCGCTCTCGACTTGTCTAACCACTACAATTATTTTAGACAAACAAATAACTTACTAAAGCTGGAGATTTTTTATTTTTTCGTGTAATGGCTCTTGTACTTAATGGAGGGGATGAAGTTGGGGGAATATAACGGTAATCGAGAGATTGTTTGAAGTCTGAAATTTCCCAGACTTTGTTTTCGATAGAAATTAGAAAAATCGTTTATGACAAGAGAGGGATTGTATTGTTTTGAGTCAATAAAAATCTGTCTGAACGTCTTTCATTAAAAAAAAAACTTGATATAAAAAGAATAAGTAAGACAATAAGTAGTCTTTAACATCAAGTGTTATTTTATGTACTGGGAAGTTCTACATGGAAGAAAGATAAAAGAATGTCTAGGTCTTTACGGGTGTTTTTTATTTTAATGTTTTAAAAATATTCTATCAGTAGGATATAAACCCATGCTGCGTTGAAAATACTCTCTAGACTGCCTCAATCAGCCCGTAGTAATGCATGTATGTATAAGGGCAAAAAAGTCTGCCACAGGCCTACTGATGTTAAACACACATTTATGAGATTTAGTCTATATTGAAGTATTATTTTATAGCACATAAATCGTTATTGAAGGTTCTCTGTATTATAATACTTTCATTTTGTAAAGATTCTACTTGACTGTATTATTATTCACATTCAACATTTGTGGCTACATGCTTTCATTTTATGGTTCATTTTATAAAGGTGTTTTTTTATATTCACGTATTTGTCAGCCATAAGTCAAAGAAACAATATATTCATTTCAAGTCTGTAAGAAAACTGTCTACAATTAAATCATAGGGTAACCCTGACAACATGATTATTCTAGAATGGTAAAGACATACAATACCATAATTCATGTCAAATATATATAACGTGTCTAAAATGTGTACATGTATATTTATAATAAGTTTTTCTATACTGCATTCTATACATAAATATATGTATAAATTATAGCCGACGCTTGATTCATGTTATTTGTTATAATTATTTATCTACCTATACATGTATGTTCTATTATTAATTTGCATTTTGCTTACAACTTCATGCTATTTGTTGTAATTATTGATCTACCTGTATGTTCTATAATTAATACATTTTGTTTACAACCCTCTCCCCCTCCTTTGTCATCTCTGTCTCTACACACTGTCTCTACAAATATTACATTTTGCTTACACCCCCTCTCCCCGCCTTTATTGTCTCTGTCTCAAAAAATATTACATTTTGCTTACACCCCCTCTCCCCTCTTTTATCATCTCTTGTCTCTACAAATCCTACATTTAGCTTACACCCCCTCCCCACTCTCCTTTATCATCTCTGTCTCTACAAATATTACATTTTGCTTACCAGTACCACCCTTTCTCCCCCCTTTTCTTATCCCTGTCCCTACAAATACTACATTTTGCTTACCGACCCCCTCGCCCTCTTTTCTTATCTCTGTCTCTACAAATACTACATTTTGCTTACCGACCCCCTCCTTTATTGTCTAGATATTAAGTGTTGTAATTATTTTCTACCTGTATGTTTCTATTGATTGATATTTCTTGCCTACACCTCCTTCTTATCTTGTCATGTCTCTAGAATAATCTAGTCACACTTATATCCATAATATTATTAGTTAGTACTAGTAGACTCACGGTTCGTTTAGTCTCTTGTCTGTTTTAACCACAGTAGGACGTTAAACCCCATATCATTTCTGTTGTAAGTGAAGTGAAAACCAGCTACACTGCTTCTATCTCTACTATAGCAACACTTTAGGCATGTTACATCTAAAACCTCAAACAAATCTCTCCACTGACTGTCAAGATATGTCTTTGAACTAAACATAAACCACTGACTGTAATAAGGTTATATGCCAGATTACTTTTCTTTTTGAAGCAAGTGGAGATGGTTTTTTTTCCGTACTCTCTTTTTTTATTACTACTTCTCTTTACTCCATTTGTAATAAATATTTCAAATCTTGTGGTTAATTTGGTTAACCAAATTGAATCAGCCTTTTTTTGTGTGTTAACTCACAAGTTAACGTTATCTTTTGCGACTGCCCCTCGTATCCATTCACTTGATTTGATATTTTTAGTTTATTTCTTACAGTGTCTGGGGGTTGGATGACTGAATGGTTAGCACACGCGCGCTGTATCATACAGTCTGTCATTGAGTCAACTGGCGTGGTTTCTATTCCCTGGTTGTACGTGACAAGGAGTAGGGATGCCTGTCCAACCTCATGGGTTTTCTCCGGGTCTTCCAGTTTCCTCCCACTGCTAAAGACCCCTATGCGTAAGCAAATTATTGAAATAAAATTGAACCATATGTTAGTCCTGAAATGACCTAGTTTGTGTCGAGTGGACGTCAAACCCCATTTCTCCTCTCTATCTCTCTGTCTTACAATGTCTGTGTAGCTTGTGTCACATCCACAGGTTTGTCTGGTGGGTTTTGTCATAGAAAAATACTTTGTCTTTAACAACAGATCAATGTGTGAAATTTAAATATTACCTTGAAAGCGTTGGTTGTTAGATTGTTGTTTAGATTCATAGCCTGGTTGGTGTTGACTGGTCATTAAACTCCATTTCCGTTATTACAAATTCACAAGCGTTAAATTCACTGGTAGAAAGTCGCTGGCTTAGTTTTAAAGAAGACAACGTTACCCTTTCTACAACCAGTTTCTCCCAACTCTCTAAATGTATTATTGAAATTGGCAAGCTGTGGCCTTAAGCTTGATTTTTCTTATAAATCACACTGATTGTTGGGTCTCATTTAATGCATGTTAACTATGGCCTGACAGGATTGAAGGGTTTGGTCCACAATAGGAAATAACATGTATTGTCATTCAATTTCTTGACAGCCTTGTAGTTCAAGTTCTACTTTCTTTTTTTTATTTGAACGAGTGATTGTGTTGCGGTATTTAGATTGACAACTCAACCAGTTAATCACCATTTGATTGATAACTGAAATTTAATTCCACTTCGATCTTAAGAAAATATTTTCTATTTACAAGTTAGCCATTTTATATTTGTAGAAAGTGAAGATATAATTGAAGTTTTTGTAATAAACGCAGCTTAACATTAAAATGAATATTTAACGACTTAACAATCGTGGTATAAAAGAAAATGTGATAAACGACAACAGTGAATACTCGTAACATTCTTTTGCCACGTGATTTAAAGATAATTAGTAATAGTAATGGGTGAATTTCCTCTCCCATTAATAAACCAGGTTTAAACTTGAGTGATTATTACTATTAGACATGGCTGATTGCTCGTTTGATTGAGTGTGCTGTTGTTTGTTGGAATGAAGACATTGATTTTGAACCCAGTTAGAACCTTCAGGTATTCCCCACTTCTCCTCTTTGATTTTAAACAGATTAGAACAGTTCAGTCATATTTTGATTTAATCTAAATATGGATGAGCGAGACTTAGTTTCGAATAACCAGTACGGTGTTTGCAATTAATGCACACGTCATGTCAGCCTTCAGAAGCTAATATCTTCGCTCGGAATAGAATAATTTGAAGGAAATTTTCAAATTATTCATTTTACATTATATATTTTCGAACTATTATAGCAAGAATATGGTTAGCTCTTTATCTAAATCTTAAATAATGTATCTTTAAATTTATCTACGTACAAAAATGTTTTGACATGTTTTATTGTCCCATATACTACTGAATTTACATAAATGCATTAATTAGTCATAAATATCCAATCTTAATTTGTCATTTTTCTTACCTCAGAAAATTTAAATCAGGGTAAGAAAATGGAATGCAGTTTAGCGTTTCTTCAATGATATAGTTTGGTCAAGTAATTGATATTGCAATACATAGGTCGCAATTCTATGGAATACAATTATGACCTATAAATCGGCAGTGTTTCCACTAAGTTCCTCAGAAAAGTAAAACATTAAACGCCATTTGATTTCCAGTTACCCACAAGATGCAATACGCATCAAATCAAACAGCTTGTTTCCATTCTTCAAACCAACTCTCAGTTATCAAGAAATATTTCATTGCCAAGCCCCGCAGGCATGGAGAATTTCCCCAATTTATTGACATAACTGGTGGAAAATGAAGTACATTTTCTTTGTTTCTCAATATCAAAGGAATTTCTTTCAATGTAGAAATGTTTAGAATAGGTTTACATATATTCATGTGTTGGAATTATCTCAAGACTTAATGGATCTTAGATCTTATCAGGGGCTTGGATGGCTGAATGGTTTATTGTGTGTGCTCTAGATCAGAAGGTCTGTCATTGAGTAAAGTGATGATGTTCTGATCCCACGCTTGCACGTGACAAGGAGTAAAGTCGACTGTGTTAGTCCTGCAATGACAAGGCTTAAGTTCAGTTGACTTAACCCACTATCCCCCCTCCCCAATCTATCTCTCTCACGTGTTGAAGATTATCTAGAGACTGCTTTAGATCAGTGAAGTGATGTTGTTCTGATCCCTCGCTTGCACTTGACAAGGAGTAAAGTTGACTGTCCAACCTTGTGGGTTTCAATGGGTGCTCCAGTGTCCTCCCACTGCTATAGATACGTACAGTTTTATATAACCAATAACAGTATCCAATTTATTCATATTATTCCCTTCATGGTTGTATATAAGAATTGTATTGATATAGTATTCAATGAAAGATATCAAGCTTGATAATAAATCAAAGCTTGGTCATTACATTAAAGGAATAAGACTACTGCCTACTTACCCTTGTGTCTGCAGTATTCATTAATACCAATCAGTTCTTACTGCTTTAAAACTTCTTTCCTTCTCGACAAAAACTCTAACTATCTCTCATTATCATTATATACAAGTTGTCTGTGTTGTCAGACGAATCGCCCATTAATACATTAGTAAGGATCGTTACGCCAGCTTCTTCTCGTCTGCAAAACAGAATAATTGATAACTTATTACCAGTTTCTTAACTTGAGCCCAGGGAGAAGGTTGCTTTCTCTATTTAAAACTGTCATCAGTTTGTAAACCTATACCGAGGGAGAATGTTCTGTTCTCTACTTTAAACTATCTCCAGTTCGGAACCTAGGCCCCAGGAGAATATTCTCTTCACTGAAGTTTAAAAAAAAGGTCCTTCTTTATTTAAAACTGTCACCCGTTTGTAACCTATGCCCACGGAGAATGTTCCGTTCCCTAGGCCCACGGAGAATGTTCACTTCACTAAAAAGATCACTCAAATTAAAAAGTCCACTCCAGGAAGAATGTTTCCTTCACACAAGTTAAAAAAAACAAAACAATTGAGATGGTGTTATAAGATGCAAAACTTATATCATCCTGTTGCTATTTAATGAACATTTTAAAAGATGGTTTAATTAACTTTAAAAAAAACCCTAGATAACGGTTAATAAATCACCACTTAATTTAAAAAAAAAAAAAAAAAAAAACACCCAAAAAATTAAAACTGCTCTTACCTAGCCCAATTGAGAACATTGTTTCCAGTACTTGATGTAAATCCACAAGAGAATGTTACCCCATCGCTCTACTTTAAAAACTAAAACTTGATATAAAGCACAGCTACTTGGTGAACAATCTCATTGGTTTATTATTGAGATAATGGTGTGTCCATATCAGACTGAACACAATCAGAAAAGACAGTTAATAAAAACAAATCTTTGATGGTGTTGACAAAGCTGATTATATTTTAAGGGTCTCTTTAAGGTCTATTTCAGTCCCTATCCAATTACACCTCTCCAACTACATAATTGTCATCTTTTCTTACACTATTCATAAAAGGAAATTAAACCGCTCAAAAGAAGAACTAGGCTTCGTCAAATTTCCTCGATTATTTATCTCACAATTGAGTAAAAGCTATGGTGTAGAATTTATCGTTGCCCAGTTTTATTTCTGTAAAGAATGACGAGATGGTATTTTATATCGTGAAACTAGTATTATTATACAAGAAGATTATTTGTTGGCGACGGCGATCAACTGGTCTATAAAGCACCTGTTCTTTATCAAAGCCATATTTTATCTCCTTCTTGCTCATAACAAACTGCATTCATGTGTAGATAATTGAACCGATGTCCATTACATCAACTAATTGGCTTCTACGATATTGAATTATTTTTTTGGTATTGGATCAGTTTCATATTCAATGAGCAGTTAGATTTACTTGTAAGAGCAATGTTTAAGTGATAGAAATAAACTAAAATGGGATTTAGAGTCTTACTTTTCTTGAATATCCAACTGCTAAGGGATCTTTTACATGCACACCAATGTGTAGACTGGTTTCGTCCCATTACAATATTCACAATATCTTATGCATTATATCCTCGAATCGTTGATTACAACACGTAACTACAGATAAGAGCAATGTTTAGGTGAGCTGAACAGTAGGACATTAAACACCATTTTATTTCCAATTAGTGCAGACGAGTAAGACATTATTAGTTAAACCCCATATTATTTCATTTAGATGATTTTTAACCGGACAGTTCACAATTTTCAAAGAAATAAAACTTACATTATTACCGGACCATTGCTATAGAAATTGTGTAGTCTCCGTGAATATTTCGCTTAAAATTACTTCCTCTCAACAAAATGAGAACTTCACTTAAATCCGTCTAATAGCTGTTTTAGCCTCGACTTGTTTCCTTGGGTGTAAAATATTTAGTTGGTTGTCGGAATCTGATTAATCATGAGCACGAAACAAGCAATATCTGTAAAACGTATTATTACAGGTCTAACACTGTGTTATTGACCGCGAACGTTTTAATACTGTTCAAGTTATTCACAGCTCCAACTCAATGGAATCATGATTCCTGTTCCTCCTTTGAACGCCTGTTGAAACAAGACTACACCACCTTGATGAAGAATTAGAAACTTGATCACAGTTACTTGAATTGTGGTTGGTTAGACGTTTGTTGTCGGCGGCGGCAACAGTCTTTGATAACTCTAATCCATAATAATAGGAGATAAAATGTCTGAATCCGTGCAGCTTTATGGAACTCGGTAGAAAAGCAATTGAAACGCCTGTCATATTTTGACAAGGGCCCTAATGTAATGAAGTAATTTTCCTAAAGAATTTTCTTTTTCACAACTGTCACTGATGGATATATGTATTGAAGGAGAATGTTTTCTTTCATGTTTTCTTGATTAACCAGTCTTTTTCTTGACTGATTATATAATCCGGTTGTATTTTCTGCACGTACGGGACTCCATTATTGTAACGGCCGTCCAATTTGAAATCCTAATTCCCCATAGATATTCATATTTCACACATCTGCAAATAATCTTGAAAGTATTACTAATATTAAAAAAACAATAAAAACCTGTTTCTTAAAATCAGATTATAAAATAAGTTACCAAAGAATTGAACAGAAAATTGTCGTACATCTGTTGTACATTTATTATTTGTAATATATTGAATCTTGGTAGTGTCGAGTCCTGCAAGTAATCTTGAAAATATTGATAATAAATAAGGTTCGTAAATCTATTGAAAGTCTTATTATAATATAGTTACCAAAGAGCTGGATAGGTCCTCTGTGCATTTGTGAACTGTAATCTATTTATTGGATGTGGGTATTATAGAGTCTAACTGTGGTATATTCAGCTATAATTACCTGCCGATAAAGGTGTAATACCAGTTATTACTTCTCTGTGCCATTGATTAACGCGAGAGGAAATTAAATGAAAGCCAAACAAGCTTTTATTACTGTTGACATGAGACTGTGTTCGCGATTGAAGTGAGTTGATTATAAGGACTTGATTAAAATACATAATTCACACCGCGCTTTAGCACTGATTAGATCTCAAGAAGTACAGACAACTTAACTAGGTCTCTATCAATAAAAACTCGTCTATTAAACTTGATTTACCAGTTACTTCTCTACTTTATTAACACACATCACTTTGACTTCTATTCACAAATTCAGGTGGGTTTTTTTTAACTTTTTGTATCACGGATCAAATTGCTTTATAGCGACAGTAATTAAAAAAAAATGACTGACATGGAAACCGGAAATTAAACTTGAAAGGACTGGTGAATATTTAGAAGCGTTACTGAAATATGTGGAAAAAAAAAAATAGTTTCAAGAAATGTTTTTGTGTTTTTTAGGGGTTTCTGAAATATGTGGATCAACTGTTTGAAACTTAGTGACTTAAGAAAAAAGAAGTTATTTTGAAATAGTTTCAAGAAATATGTTTTTGAGATTTTATTTTTAGTCTTCTGGCACCAAACATGTAAACAAGGTTATTTTAGTCAAGTGAAATTACCACAAATTGAAGAAAACCAGAAAAAATCTTTCTCAATCCTAAATTTCTTTTTTGAAATCTGCCAAGAAAACAACCCGTTATTATAATGATTTGTAAGATCATTATTCTGATTGAAAACTAAAGATATTTAAAAGTAAAGGTATTATAAAGTATACCTGCTATTACATGTAGGGGCTGATTTAGTGGGGTGAGTCGTGTCGGTAGTTGAACTAACCTTTCTAGCAGAAGATTCCCTTCAGTAAACTTGCAAAATGCTTTATATAGTCGCATCCGTATCCACTAGCGGCAATATTCATCTGGACCCCTCGTCCAGTATTTTTCTTTATCCATCGGTTTGTATGTGAACACCATTTCTGTATCCACTAGTGGCAATATTCACCTAGACCCCTCTTTTCAACATTTTCTCTATTCACCAGTTTGTATGTGAACACCACCTCTGTATTCAATATTCACCAAGACCCCTCTTTTCAACAATTTCTTTATCCATGGTTAGTATGTGAACACCATCTCCATATCCACTAGCAGCAATATTCACCCACACCCCGCTTTTCAACATTTTCTCTATTTACCAGTTTGTATGTGAACTCCATCATATCCAATATTCACCAAGACCCCTCTTTTCAACAATTTCTTTATCTATGGTTAGTATGTGAACACCTTCTCCATATCTACTAGCAGCAATATTTACCCAGACCCCGCTTTTCAACATTTTCTGTATCCACCAGTTTGTATGTGAACTCCATCATATCCAATATTCACCGAGACCCCCCGTTCAACATTTTTCTCTATCCATCGGTTAGTATGTGAACACTATCTCCGTATCCACTAGCGGCAATATTCACCGAGACCCTTCTTTGAACATTTTCTCTCTCCAGTTGAAGAGGAAGTGTGGTATTTAGACGTTGTTTTAGCATATGTTAACAAACTGTTATCCTGTGATAAAACACTGTATACCACCTAGCAGGTGCCCCTTCTCTTCATACTAGATAATCACATATATACCTTAATCTTATCTCTATTATAGATTGGGATAGACACACGGAATGAAATTACTTTGCATAAATACTTCCAACACATGTTGGCTTGCTGTTGATCAAATCTAATTTCTAAACAAATTGTGGTTTCCTGTTGTTAAAATCTCATTTTTAGACAATTGGTGTTTATTAGTGGTTGAAATCTATTTTCCAGGCAAATGTTGTTAAAATTTGTTTTCTAGACAAATTGTGTCCAGCGATTGTTGAAATCTAATTTCTAAACAAATGTTGGCTAGTTGTTGTTCAAATCTAATTTCTAGACGAATGTTGCCTAGCTGTTGGTAAAATTTCTTTCCTAAAAAAAGAAAAATGGTGGCTAAATGTTATATCAATCTTGAGTACCCAATAGCATGGATTAAAAAGTGAAAAATTTGATATTTTCAACAAAAAAAATGCAAATCATACATATTAATATCCAATTGACTTGTCATATCCCAACCTCTTTTAAAACTGACATGCTTTAAGTCTATAGTATAAATATTGTCAAACGCATATTTAGTAGACATTTTACAATTTTAATGTTTTTAGTATGTTTACATTGGAGAATTGATGGTTTTCTAAAAAAAAACAACAAAAAAAACAGAAAGTTTCCTGAAAAATAAATAGCACTACATTAGCAGACTGTTGTTTAAATATTTTATATGTTTGAAACACTCTACTTACATTTCTTAAAATTTGAAGAGTTTTCCGGTGAAATAAAGGAAGCTTAGTTAATAAAAAATTCCATTACATATGTTTAAAAGTATATTGTATTATTCATACTTGCCGTTTTCTCATCCAACGTTGGGTTAAAAGCTTTTAACGTGTTTTCGTTTTATTTATTTCTTTTAGAGAATAACACTTGTTATAACGAACCTTACCTAAATGGCTAGATATACATATCCTATAGACGATACAAAATAAATGCAAGTTTTATGACACGTCAGCGCTAACGTGTCTGTAATGCCCCAATTGTATGGTAGTCGTAGCGAGATGGGTTAAACATTATCAGATATATTCATTCATATGCATGAATGAAAATAAACGTTGCGTTAAATAGAATTAAAAACGGGTTAGACAATATCAGATATATTCATACGCATGAATAAAAAATAAACGTTGCGTTAATGAAATTAAAAACATCCTTGTTCATGTATAGAAATAGTTCAACTGAAAAAAAAAAAAATGGTTGCATACGATTAAAATCTTAAAAATTTCACTTTTAAAATGTTTAATTGTTTGCTGTAGGAAACCAAATAAAATAGTTGAACATATAAATTTTCAGATATATTTGCTCTAAAATACACTTGAATTAATAAGATTTTTTCATTATTCAACAGTTATAAAATAAACGTTACCTGAAAATAAATACAAACTGCTGAAAATGGCCTAATCATCTGCAGGAAGTCACAGTGGCTCAGTGATTAAGATGCTGGCCTGGAGGTCGCGGGTTCGCTCCCTTCTCAGTGATGCAGGACAGCCGTCTAGTCGTTCAGATGGGATGCAAAACCGAGGTCCCTGTGGCAAATTGGCATGCACGTAAAAGAACCCTTGACAGTTGGAATTCGATATAACCATAGGTCGTTGTGCCACTGTCGGGGCAAAATTTTCCGCATAACACACTGCATGGTGTTTGATCCGTCTTCATTAGCCTAGTCAGTGCAGAAAAGTTGGACGTTAAACCCCATTTCATTTCTTGATATCTGCATTTCATATCGTTAAGGGGGAGGGGGGGTGGATGGCTGAATGGTTAGCTTGCTCGCGCTGTATCATAAAGTCTGTCATTGAGTCGACTGGCGTCGTTTCGAATCCCCAGTTGTACGTGACAAGGAGTAGGGACGCCTGTCCAACCTCGTGGGTTTTCTCCGGGCCCTCCGGTTTCCTCCCACTGCCAAAAGACCCCTACGCACAAGAGAATTATTGAAATAAAATTAAACCATATGTTATTCCCGAAATCACCTAGTTTGTGTTGAGTGAACGTTAACCCCCATCTCTCTCTCTCTCTCTCTCTCTCTCATATTAAGATGTTTTCCTTATTAGACCACATCTTTATAAATGAAAAGCCTCAAGAAACCTGTTATTTTTTTCACTTGGTGTATATGTAATTAGCTCCCTGTAGATAGTGTTAATACGATGAAATAACACTCTATTTCTAATAGAAATCAAAGGTTTTTTTTATCCAGTGTATATTTCTTTTCTGTCATTATAATTCATATTACCAATATTCAGCTGGTTTTAAATAAAAGCTTTTTATCTCATATGAAGCATGTGACATTCTCTCTTTCATCTCCTGTCCTAATAACTGCGTATCAGGATTATAGCAGATTCAATTAAGTTATGTTTTGCAGCGTGGTATGAAATGAACTCGGTTTATTTGTCTAATGCTTTTGCTTTAGATTATAAGATCTGTCATTGAGTCAAGGGGCGTGGTTTCGATTGCCAGCTTGTACCATATGTTAGTCCCGAAATGACATTTTTTGTGTCGGATTTTAAACTCTCTCTCTGGTTTTGTGGGCTTGGATGGCCGAATGGTTAGAGCATGCGCGTTGTATTATAAGGTCTGTCATTGAGTCAATTGGTGTGGTTTTCGATTACCCGGTCGTATGTGACAAGGAGTTAGGGTCTAACTTCAGGTTGCAACATCCTGAGTATCATATCCTGGACCTCATTATTAATAATCCATATTATCATATCTTGTACCTCATCATTAATAATCCATTGTATCATCATATCTTGTACCTCATCATTAATAATCCTGAGTATCATATCTTGTACCTCATTATTAATAATCCCGAGTATCATATCTTGTACCTCATCATTAATAATCCCGAGTATCATATCTTGAACCTCATTATTAATAATCCCGAGTATCATATCTTGTACCTCATCATTAATGATCCCGAGTACCATATCTTGTACCTCATCATTAATAATCCCGAGTATCATATCTTGTACCTCATCATTAATGATCCAGAGTATCATATCTTGTACCTCATCATTAATAATCCTGAGTATCATATCTTGTACCTCATCGTTAATAATCCTGAGTATCATATCTTGAACCTCATTATTAATAATGGATAGCAACAAGCCTCAAAACCAAAATGCCTACATATAATTATTGGACATAAAAGAATCTTGGGAATAGTACAAACATTTCCTAATCTCTCGACAGTCGACAGGTATTCTTGGAATTGTTAAGAATTGAGCCAGTTAGTGTTTTAATGTAGTAACCTTTTATTTTTCAGACAATTCTTTATGTCTTTTGAAAATTTACATAGAATGTTTTACTTATTTACAATAACTTATTAATTATGCCTTTTGTCAACCCCATGTAGACCTTACAACTCAACTCAACTCAACTCGTGGAGGGCCGAATGGTTAACATGTGCGTGTTGTATCATAAGGTCTGTCATTGAATCAACTGGCGTGGTTTCGATTCACCGGTTGTACTTGACATGCTGTAGGGTCGCCTGTCCAATCTGGTGTTTTTTTCTCTTGGTCCTCCGGGTTCCTCTCACTGCTAAAGACCGCTACGCGCAAGCAAATTAGCGAAATAAAATTGAACCATATGTTAGTCCCGAAATGACATGGTTTGTGTCGAGTGGACATTAAACCCCATTTCTCTCTCTGGTAATAGTGTAGTTGAGTAAGGTCTACATACAGTTTGACAGGTGTAAACAGAAATTAATAAACAATTAAAACAGGTGTGTATATTACAGGTCACCCCAGTATGGGAATGCAGCGAATAAATCATCCAGGTGTGAGAATGCCTGGTCCTATGAATCCTGTAAGTATTAAAATGATTCTTGATCGCTATGGCAGCAATACAATTATTGGCAAGATACAAAAAGTTTTGTCAAAAATTTATTTACACACATCTTTAAAATCCACTTAAAATGATTCTTGATGGAAATGATTCTTGATGGCTATGGCAACAAAAGAATTATTGGCGAGATCCAAAAAGCTGTCGTCAATGGTCTGTTTTGTCAAAAAATTTATTTACACTCAACTTCAAAAAATTTAAAAAAAAATTCAGAACCATACTTTTTTTGTCAGAAATTTATTTAGAAACAACATTTAAAAACAAAAGAAAAAAAAAACAATGTCATAATGCAAGTAAGATTCATTGACCCTTCGGATTCTTTTATGGCTGTGTAAATTATTATTACTTATGCCTTGATAGTGTATCCAAAGACATTACCTGAATTCAAATAGAATCTCAGATATATAAATACTAATTGTATTGTTGTGCTCTGTGCAGGCTCAGTTTTAGATGTACCTGACAAAATGTCAGGCACTAATGAAAGATTACTTGACATTTTCAACTTAGTGCCAGACATGTATTAATAATATCAATATAAAGGACAAATCATTGTCGGACAAAATGACAGGCCTGAATCTGTGTCTGACAATGTCTGTGACAGGTGCCTTATTTCCAGGCTTGGTTCTGTGTGATGTTTGAATGGGTGTGGTCAATCTGTGGGCATGACATCAATATACGTTGTTATAATCATGGTCTTGGCCATATATTATTGGTTACACAAGTCTGGAAATAATCCATCGGTCACTGACAGCGTCAAGCCCAAATTCACATCCTTTTCAGTTACATCTTTTTTTTTATTTTGCTATGTTTTTCTTGATATTTATGAATACATGACCACCACGGACTTCAAAAACAACAGTTAAATGTACTTGTTCATTAGATCTTGTGGTTGAGTGGACGTTAAACCCCATTTCTCTTTGTCTCATTAGACCATGACATTTTGTCCAGTAAACCTAATATTATTCCAGACCTGCGGTATCTGAAATATTATTTACCCATGGCCATGCTGGGGGGGTTTTATTAAAAAAAATTTGTTCCCCTCAGTTATTGTATTCTTTTGTTTCCCAATTATTGCATTTTTTCGTTTCCTAATTGTTGTATTCTTTTGTTCCCCCAATTATTGCATTTTTTCGTTTATTGTATTTTTTCGTTTCCCAATTTTTATATTTTTTCATTTCCCAATTATTGTAATGTTTTGTTTCTCCCCCTGAGAAAGTTCATTAGGATTTTCCACCTTGGTTTCCCCTTGTACACATTGGCATGCGCGTAAAAGATCCCTTGGCAATTGAAATTTGATATAAGAGTAGGCAGTAGTGCCGCGGTCTGGACAAAATCTACCTCATAGCACACTGTATGGCGTATGCCCGTCTTCATTAGCCCAGTGGGAATAGGACATTAAACCCCATTTCATTTTGTTTCCCCCCCCCCCCCTAAATATTATATACTCCTTGATCCCCCATTTATTTTATTTCGCACAATTTTTTCTCTTTTCATATTTAAGTGTTTCCCCTTCTTCTGTCTTATTTCATTCTTTCCTTAACTCTCAAACTTTGAGCAATCTAAACTAAATTTATAATTTTATAAAAAAGAAATTATTAAAAAAAAAAATTATTGTACCAAGTGTTATCCAATATGAATGTTTTGTAATGTACAGTTTAAATTGGATTTAAAAATTACAAATTTGTGACATACCAATTTTTTTTTTTTTTTTTCGATATCGATGTTTTGTAATTGTGTTGTATCAATGTTTTGATTGTATTTCGTACCGTTTTCATGTAAAGACGCAGTTGCTCAAAGTTCCCTTCTGTTTATGTCTGTTGGCGACGGTGCATCAGTGTTGTGGGTTGTTTTTTTTTTAAATTACGATTCGTAACCACAGCACGTCGTCATGACGACTAACTCTTCTTTTTCTCTATCCCGATTTCTATCTAGGTGTACGATTCATTACAGAATTATAGTGGTATGCGGGGCCCACCTCCAAACCCTGGAATGGGGCCTGGTCCAGGAGGAATGCCACCAATGTCCATGTAAGTATCAGATTTTTTTTTTTCAAAAGTGTAGGGGCGATGGTGGCTTGCTCACTAACCAGGACATTATTGGTTCAAGAAAGTCCCTCCGTGGTGCAGGACGGAGGGGATGAAAAAATTACGTCCACCTTGTTAGTGTGCACGTTAAAGAACCCTTGGCAGTTGGAATTCGAATAAGAGTAGGAGAAAACGGACAATAATTTGCCTGTCTTCGTTAGCGTGTTTGGTTTGGTGCAGAAAAATAGGACGTTAAAACGCATTTCAAAAACACGTTTCAAAAACATTCAATAGGGTGGAAAAACCCATTTCAAAACATTCATTTTAAAAAGAATAAAAATATTATTTATAGCACTAAATAAGACTTTTGATTCTGTGTTGATTTCACCAATCTGTTAATATTTGGAGTCAAATTAGTTATTTTTTATATTAGTATGGAATGGAATGGAATGGCAATCAAAGTCTCGTCACCACAATCCTCCGGTCATTTTGAGACTAACATATGGTAATATTCATTTCTATGGTTACGTGTGATGGGTGGGGTGGGGTGTATGTTTTTTGGATGAGACAACTGCTCTTTCTCGAATTCCACCTGCCAAGGTTTTTCTTTCTTTTTTTTTTCTTTTTTTTTAAGCATTCCACTGTACATGAGTGGCCTAGTTTTTTGTACCATTCTAACAACTTTTCACACTAACAATAACAATGTCAGCCCAGCAGGCTCCACCACTTGTGAAATCCCAATGGTTCTTCGCAACCCATGTTGGGATCGAACCAGAGAGGGGAGTTGGGTAGCCGAATGGTTAGCACGTACGCACTATATCATAAGGTCTGTCATTCAGTCAACTGGCGTGGTTTCGATTCCCAGGTTGTATGTGACAAGGAGTAAGGTCGTCTGTCCAAGCACATGGGTTTTCTCTGGATCCACTGGTTTCCTCCCACTACTAAAGACCCCTTCACGCAAGCAACTTATTGAAACAAAATTGAACCATGTGTTAGTCCCAAAATGACCTAGTTTGTGTCAAGTGGATGTTAAACCCCATCTCTCTCTATCGAAACCAGAGATAAACTAGTTGAGATATCTCTGCGTTGATTCTCGCCCTGCACAGAACCCAATTTGTATATTGGATATCAAGATGGTTGTAAATATATTATCTTTGGATCAGTACCATTTATAGATTAAATATATTCACCAACATGACTATTAATCTGATGTAATTTATCAAAATCACCGATCGTCATTTGCATTTTTCGGACACGCTATCTGATTTTCACGTTTTATCCTCGTTAAAATGTACTCCTGTGTAACGTTTGATTGAGAAAACCAAACCGAAATCTCAACAGTAGATAATCTCCCTGCTTGGTGGAGTCACTCGGATTAATGATTCCACAGAAAATTATACGTGCCGCTGGACGATGTTGATTATATCCTATCTTTTCGTGCATTGGCCAAGAAAGTTCATCCAGATGTTTGCGGCGTGGTTTCCCCTTGTCAGTGATGCAGGACGGAGAGCCTGACAAGGACAGCTGTCTAGTTGTTCGGATGGGACGAAAAATCGAGATCCCGTGTACTCATTGGCATGCACGTAAAAGATCCCTTGGCAGTTGGAATTCGATATAAGAGTAGGCAGTAGTGCCGCTGCCCCGGAAAAATTTCCCTCATAGCACACTGTATGGCGTATGCCTGTCTTCATTATCCCAGTTTAGGAGCAGAACAGTAGGATGTTAAACCCCATTTCATTTCCTATGTTTTCGTTTGCAGTGGATGCCGAATTTTTTACAAATTTTCAATTCATCATAGATTTCGAAACAATGAAAGAAATTGAACCATTTTTATACGCCCACATGGAAATATGGTCGTATATTGACGTCGCAATACGGCCCTTGTTTTAGTTTTTAGAACCTTGTGAACCCTCAAACGACGAAAATTATAATGTCATCTGTATGAAATTGTCTATTAAATCCCCCTAATTACCTACAAAAGAATAAATATGTGACAACCCTTGTCGACTGCTCGGACGATTTAGCTGCTGTGGGCGTATGTTTTGTTGACTGGCAACCTATCTTTGGACTAATATTCTCTTTGGAGATTCACCTTTCACAATAAGGTAGTCTGGAAAGGATTCAATCTGGTTAAAACACAGATCCTATTTCGTTTCATTTTTATAGTTCAAAATTTCATTTTACTTGTCTTTACTACACTTGGATCTGGAAGAGTTGTTATTTAACTCGTGTTCTGAATGATCTCAGGGATAAGCCAATGAAACGGTCTGTCAAGGCGAGCTTTAGATTGCAAAGGATTCAAATTCCCTCAAATGACATTCATTGTATACAAATTTATAACAGTTGGTTAATAATGTAATTTGACTATGCAATTTATTTGACAACTGAGACTTGAATTTTCAATTGTACAAATTTTCATTTTAGGCCCGGCGGACCAGGTGGTCCAGGACCTGGAAGACCATGGCCTCCCACATCTTCATCATCAGTAAGTATCCATTACATCACTTTAAGTGCGTTTCGCCGGATACACGGCCCCATTACATGTGCACCAGACTAACTTTTTTGCCAGTGAAAACGTGCATGGAACGTCGCGAAAACGTGTATATGAAAAACAAGCCTTATATTATCACAAGAATATTTGTGGTCTTCACTGAAGTGAATTTGTCAAATATTTCATAGGAGAAAAAAACCGAATCAAAGTGGCATTGAATAGAAGATATTAAAGCATCTGTTTATATGCTTCAGGCAGTACCCTGAGGACATTGGATATTCTGAACTTCTATGTGATCACAAACTGTTTTTAAAACCCACTGGAATACACCTACTGAATTTAATAGAAGGAATTTTTTTGGCAAAGTTTCTCTTATTGTTACCAAGTACATTGTTGAAACGTTGCTATGAAATTGTGTTCATAAACGTTTTGTGTTCCAGCCAATAATGTAGCCTTTGCACACACTACTCTAGCCTGAAATGATATAAAATTCAATTATTAATAATTTATGTACTCATGTTTTAAATCGATCAAACTTTATCAATGTAATTGATTTACTAATCTATAAACTAGGGCATTTATTCACATAAATTTTACGTAATATATTTTTGGAATGCTGCATTTTCATTGCCTAAAAATCAAATATTTCTACTAGGATTTTAATTATTAGCCAATGAACATGCTGAATTCTTGAAATATTTTACTTTAAGATGTTGTAAATAGTCGTGTGTGTATTGAGCCAAGTGGCATGGTTTCGATTCCCCGGATGTACATGACAAGGAGTAGTGTCGCCTGTACAACCTCGTGGGTTTTCTCCTGGTCCTCCGGTTTCCTCACATTGCTAAAGACTCCTACATACAAGCGAATTATTGAAATAAATCTGAACCATATGTTAGTCCCGAAATGACCTAGTTTGTGTCAAATGGACATTAACCCCCATTTCTCTCTATATTGTCATATACATTTGTAGTTGTTGGGTTATTTCTACTCTGAAACATCCAATGTCACTTCTCATTTAACAATTTATTTTATGAATTTTGTTTTCTAGTTAAACTACTCATCGGCATCTCCTGGAAGTTATAATGTAAGTTCTTCACCCAGCTTTTTATTCTCTTTATCATCAATTTGTCAGGGCTTTTGGTTTGCTCCCATTGCTAGTATGTGACTAGTAGGCTGGAAAAAGCTTTCCTTAATTTGCAAAAGTTAAAATTTGCTCTCTTGAAAAACGTTATATCATAACAAGGGGAGTTATATCAAAACAAGGAGAGTTATATCAAAACAAGGAGAGTTATATCAAAACAAGGAGAGTTATATCATAACAAGGAGAGTTATATCATAACAAGGAGAGTTATATCATAACATAAGAGCAGAACAGTAGGACGTTAAACCCCATTTCATTTCATAATAAGGAGAGCTATATCATAAGAAGTTATATCATTATAAGGAGAGTTATATCATAACAAGTTATATCATAATAAGGAGAGTTAAATCATAATAAGGAAAGTTATACCATAACAAGTTATATCATAATAAGAAGAGTAATATCATAACAAGTTCTATCATTAATAAGGAGAGTTCTATCATTAATAAGGAGAGTTCTATCATAATAAGGAATGTTCTATCATTAATAAAGAGAGTTCTATCATAATAAGGAGAGTTATATCATAGCAAGGAGATTTCTATAATAAGGAGAGTTATATCATTAATATGGAGTGCTATATCACAATAAGGAGAGTTCTATCATAATAAGGAGAGTTCTATCATTAATATAAGGAAAGTTATATCATAATAAGAAGAGTAATATCATAACAAGTTCTATCATTAATAAGGAGAGTTCTATCATTAATAAGGAGAGTTCTATCATAAGGAATGTTCTATCATTAATAAAGAGAGTTCTATCATAATAAGGAGAGTTATATCATAGCAAGGAGATTTCTATAATAAGGAGAGTTATATCATTAATATGGAGTGCTATATCACAATAAGGAGAGTTCTATCATAATAAGGAGAGTTCTATCATAATAAGGAGAGTTCTATCATAGCAAGGAGATTTCTATAATAAGGAGAGTTCTATCATTAATATGGAGTGCTATATCACAATAAGGAGAGTTCTATCATAATACGGAGAGTTACATCATTAATAAGGAGAGTTCTATCATTAATAAGGAGAGTTCTATAATAAGGAGAGTTATTATGATTCCTAATCTATATAGACTTATTGGGGGGGGGGGGGTCTTTAAACATTTGTGTGGTCAGTGCTATGGAAAACTTGTTTAGATTGATACTGATGTACAATATAATGATTTATTATTTCAGGGTCCCGTGTCTGGGCCGCCAGGTACACCTATACACATGCCAAGCCCACAGGGTAAGTAAGATTCTTGGATAATAACAGTTCTAAATGATAGGTATCAAGATTTTGTCTCTAACCTTGGTTGATAAAAATCCTAGAAGTTTTGCAAAGGATAGGCATCTTGATTTTGGTCTGAGATTTGCTGGTAAAAATCCGAAAAGTTTTTCTTGGTCACTGTTATGAATCAGAATTTATTGCTAATTAAGTATTTAATGGTTTTTATTCGTACCTGTTTTACAGGTGACTCGGCGAATTCTGGTGATGGAATGTATGGAATGATGAAACCGGGTGGTATGCCCGGAATGCCTGGGGTAAGTCTCACATCAAATTAAAACATAAACATGCTTCTACACTTATAAGTTCTGTACAATATTACGTAAACTCTCATTAACTCACTCTAAATAGTATAACGTTCTATACGCCCACAAATGCATCATTTTGACTTAGTCAAAATTGATCCTATCAAACTGTCGTCGTACAATTTCTTGATAATGATAAAAGGATAAAACAAGTGATTGTTTCCCATAAAAACTGTGTTCTGTTAACACTCTACAGATTTATCAAACGATTGTTTTAAAATTTATTTATGTTTGCATGAGTTAAATGAAGAAGCATGTTGAGTTTCAGCAATTTCCATTAATTACTTCTAGAGTTATGGCACTTCTTTAACTTTTGTATGAAATTTATAAACGTTATTTAAATTAAACGATAAAGCATACAAATTCTGTAACTTACTTCTAGAGTTAAGGCCCTTGTTTTAGTTTGTAGAACCTTGTGAACACTTAAACGACAAAAATTCTAATCTGATCTGTATGAAATTGACATCAAAATGTCTTGTAAATGCCTCCACATTAGCCACGAAAGAATAAATTTGAGACGACACTTGTCGACTGCTTATATAATTTAGCTGCTGGCAACCTATCTTTGAATATTTTTATTAAATGATTTTAAACAATTTATTTTATTACAGTTTATGGGAGGTCCTGATGGCATGCCAATGGGACCTGGTGATATGCCCCCAGTTATGAATGGTAAGTAATACATTTATCACTTTTCCTGGTTGCATGTTCTTATTAAAGCAAACGTCTCTTGGTGCAGAACAGTAGGACGTTAAACCCCATTTCAATAAAACGTTATACATTGGAACCTTATTCAAGAAGACTATACACATTGTTTTATCCACAATTATTTTATACACTTAGCCTTATTAAGGAAACATTATACACTTGGCCTTATTCAAGAAAACATTATACACTTGGCCTTATTCAAGAAACTTATTCAAGAAAACATTAATCACTTGGCCTTATTCAAGAAAACATTATACACTTGTCCTTATTCAAGAAAACAGAAGTGTGGACGAATGGTTAACGCATGCGCTTTGTATCATAAGATCTGTCATTGAGTCAACTGGCATGGTTTCGATTCTCCGGTTGTATGTGACAAGGAGTATGGTCGTCTGTCGAACTGCGTGGGTTTTCTCCGGGTCCTCCGGTTTCCACCGACTGCTAAAGACCCCTACTCACAAGCAAGTTATTGAAAGAAAACTGAACCATATGTTAGTCCCCAAATGACCTAGTTTGTGTCAAGTGGACATAACCCCATTTCTCTCTATCTCTCAATCAATTATTAAAAGTTTCGAAACAAAAAATATTTGCTCACAGCTTACAATTATTAAAATCAAATTTATTAGCTTTGTGGCCATACATTTGCTTGAAATATAATTTTTTTTAAAAATAAATATCAATTTTAGGTTTACTACATAATTTGTTTTAAAATCAACCTTTAATCTACATCAAATCAAAAGCTACCCGTCTGCTCATCAGGATTTTCACCGACGTGGTTTCCACTTGTCGGTGGTGCAGGAGGGGGGGTCTGACAAGGACAGCTGTTTATTCGTTCAGATAGCATGAAAAACCGAGGACCCGTGTATACATTGGCATGCGCGTAAAAGATCCCTTAGCAGGTGGAATTTGATATAAGAGTAGGCCATGGTGCCGCTGCCCGAGCTAAATTTCTCATAGCACACTGTATGGCATATGCTCGTCTTCATTAGCCCAGTAGGATGTTAAACCCCATTTCACTTCTTTGTCGAGCGTCTTTAGATGTTATATATGAATATATATCCAGAATCACTACAATTGCTCATACACAAACACTTACCATCACAAAGTATTATAATATTTCATTTGTCTTGTATAAAAATATTTTTTTTTAATAATACAGGTATTTTTTTTCTGTTGTGAATGATATTTATTATTATATAACGTGTGCATCCGTATCTCATAACTGACGTTAAACACATTATTTAAAGCATGTAATATGATATATATAGTATATATGATATATTCTAAATATAGTGAAATTCTCGACAGATGGCATGATTTAATTATTTAGAATAATAGCTATTAAATTTGATATTTTATTAAAGGACAATGTTGCCATTCACCAATTTTACACACGATATAAAATAGGTTAAACGCATTTCATTTATAATTTTGAAATAAAAGATGATTTTTGTAGTTGAGCTTGTATGTGACAAGGAGTAGGGCCAGCTGTCCAAACCCGTGGGTTTTCTCTGGGTGCTCTGGTTTACTCCCACTGCAAACTAATTATTGGAATAAAATTGAACAAGATGTTAGTCCCAACATGACCTAGTTTGTGTTGGATGGGTGTTAAACCCCATTGTCTCTCTTTTCTTTAGTTGAAAATATCTTGGTGCTGGGCAACATTGTTCTTTGATAAGATATGAAAATTTTTAAAACAAAACTAATGAGAGGGCTATATATATATATATATATATATATATATATATATATATATCTATATATATATATATATATAAGATACGGCTGTTTGGGCCATATGTTTACACTGTAAACCGGGTATCATTTAATCTTGTGTATCTAGCCCTAATTTCTTTCACATTCATTCAATATCAAATCTTTGTAAATTGGGCACTCATTATCAGAATTAATCAATCAGCTTTAAAATGGACACAAGTACAAGGTAGATGATTTTGGGTGATTTTTACAAATTTATAAACAAAGATTTGATATTAAACAAATGAGAAAGAAATACACAAGATTAAATGATACCCAGGTTACAGTGTTAACTGCTCTTTTACTTACATACTGGTGTACTTGAGCAAATATTTAATTTCTCATGTTTTAAACGTTTGTTGGTTGTTGGTTATGTTAACCCTTTAGCCAAGCCTGAACAAAAGGCATGTGTTGTGTCTAAAGCCTGTGACGGGTGCCTTACGTATACGTCATGTGATAATTTGCACTGGACAAAGTCATGTGACCGGGACCTTGTGTCCACCCTTATATATATATACATGTACGATATGTGATAATTTGTACTGGAAGAAGTCATGTGACAGGTGTCTTGTGTCCACACGTTTATACGTTAGATGAGAATTTTTCTGGACGAAGTCGCGTGACAGGTGTCTTGTGTCCACCCATGTATATGTTATGTGATAATTTGTACTGGACAAAGTTGTTTGACACTGACCTTGTGTTCATCCTTGCATACGCCATGTGATTATTTGTTTGCACAAAGTCATGTGACACTGATCTTGTGTCGACCCTTGCATATATACATGTACATTGTGTGAAGTATGTCCAGGCTTGGCTATAGTGCCTAGAGGTACTTTTAAATAATTACTACCCCATTTACTATAGCCTTAGTGGGAAGTGATCTTTTTTTTAATTGCTTTTTGGAGCTGATTTTCAAAACTAAAGATCCTCCTTAAACCCCTACCTCTTCAAACAGCATTGAGTCACCAAATTAGCATATGTTGTCACTGAATAGTTCATGGCTATTCATGTGACTTGATTAATTTGAACTGCAAAACAGAAAAATAGTTTTTTTATTTTTTCAACTGTACTACTTTAGCTCCAGTGCAGAATTGAAATGGATACATAGTTTCTTTAAAATTGACATTTGTGGATTAGGTGGTCTAGTGGTTTAATGCGTGCACATGAAATCTTAAGGTCTGTCATTGAGTCAAGTGGCATGGGTTTGAATCCCTGCTTGTACATGACAAAGAGTAGGATCGCCTGTCCAATCTTTTGGGTTTTCTCTGGGTCCTTCGGTTTCCTCCCACTGCTAAAGACCCCTACGCGCAAGCAAATTATTGAAATAACATTGAACCATATGTTAGTCCTGAAATGACCTAGTTTGTGTCAAGTGGATGTTAAACCTCATTTCTCTCCCTCACACCTATGTGTCCCTGTCATATATTAGGTACAATGCAAACAGCCCTTTTTACAAAATAATCTTAATATGCTATGCTCTTTGAAGTTTGATTGTCCCTTGCTAACTACCCTATTTTAGCGTACATTATTTAGATACTGTCCAAAATATATAAGGGGAGCCACGGTGGCTAGGTGGTTAAGACGCTGGTTCGCTAGCCTGGAGGTCGGGTGTTCGATCCCTGCATTGTCCGAGAAAGTTCATCAGGATTTTCCGACGTGGTTTCCTCTTGTCAGTGGTGCAGAACGGAGGGACTGACAAGGACAGCTGTCTAGTCCTTCGGATGAGACGAAAAACCAAGGTCCTGTGTATATATTGGAATGCACGTAAAAGATCCCCTGGCAGTTGGAATTCGATATAAGAGTAGGCGATAGTGCCGCTGCCCGGACAAAATTTCCCTCATAGCACACTGTATGGCGTATGCCCGTCTTCATTAGCCCAGTATAGGAGCAGAACAGTAGGACGTTAAACCCCATTTCATTTCAAAATATATAAATGATGGTCAGTGGCTTTAATGTTGATGTCTTTATTTTTATTGATATCTTTGTGTGTTTTTGATCAAATTTCTGAAATATAGCTTAAATATATATGGGCATGCTTTTTTTCCGCCAGAAACATATTGAAGTGATGAAACTATTAGATATGACGTTTATAAGTGTTGAAAGTATTAGATTAGATAAGAAATGTAATAAAGTGTTGAAAGTATTAGATTAGATAAGAAATGTAATAAAGTGTGGAAAGTATGAAATATGAAACTTAGTAATGTGATGAAAGTATGAAATCTGTAAACATAATAAAGTCATATAAGTATTAAATCAGAAACATTTTGAAGAAATGAAGGTATTAAATATGCAACGTAATAAATAATGATAGTATTAGATATGAAACATAATAAAGTGTGGAAAGTATTAAATATGAATGATTGAAAGTATTAAATCTGAATCATAAAGTGTCGAAAGTATTAAATCTGATCTGAAATATTGAAAGTATTAATCCCAAACGTATTGAAATGATGGAAGTATTAAATCCGAAACATTGAAATGATGAAAGTATTAAATCCGAAACATTGAAATGATGAAAGTATTAAATCCAAAACGTATTGAAACGATGGAAGTATTAAATCTGAAACATTTAAATGATGGAATTATTAAATCAAAAACATTGAAATTATGAAAGTATTAAATCAAAAACATGGAAATGATGAAAGAATTAAATCCGAAACATAAGTGATGAAAGATTAAATATGTCATAAAATGATGAATAGAAAGTATTCAATCAGAATAATAAAATATTAATCAGAAACCTATTGAAATGGTGACAGAGTTACATCTGAAATACAATAAAAGTGTTAATTTGAAACGTAATAAAAATGTCTTAATTTTCAATTGATATGTTTTCCCTAAATAAAAACTTAAAAAAATAAGCAGCCTCTGTATTTTCAAGATATATTTCATGAAATTTTATCCATTTCTATGGTAAGTATTTAAATTGATGTGTTTTTCAGGTGATATGGATGGAATGAAAAACTCTCCGGCAAACGGCCCTGGTACGCCGAGGGATAACTTAACGCCCGTCAGCGGTCCTGGCCCAGATATGGGTCCATACGGGTTAGGGGGCTACCAAGAAAACGTAAGTGACTAAACATTGTGTGCACGTTGATAGATAAAAGTAAAAATCAACAGGTACCATTTCTTTTTTTTTTAAAAAATGAAAAAAAAAAAAAAAAACCCAAACAACTCTGTACACTTCTGTTACTCATTTTTATTAACTGCTTTCAGTTTCTTTTGATTTTCTCTTTGTCTGCCGCGGTTTGGGGCATTGCATGTTCATGGGCTACTGATGCTTCTCCTCTCTCTACTTTTACTTCTGTCTTTTTTGGTTCTGTTTTTTCTGAGCATTGCCTGTGAATTTGACCTCTGACCTCTTGACTTGTCAAACAATCTTGATGAAGCAACAAACACTTTTAGCGTATTATGTGTGTGTTAATAAAGTAGTTAACTAATGGCTGGGAGCTATCGCTAATATTTTAATTGGCTCTACATAAATATATTTAGAAATAAACAAAAGAAAAAAAACAAACACATAGCATGCAGTTAGACATTGTACACAAAAATAGGTCCAATTTCCTCAGATGATGCCAACAATTTAAAAACATTACTGGCAAATACTTTCATCATCTTGTCATCCAATCATACTGCAAGCATGACTTCTGACCCTAGACCTCCGGTCTCAACCTCTACATCTTTACAATTTTTCAGGATCAAATTGAGTCTGCCGCAATCCTAAAGATTAAAGAGTCTATGCAAGAAGAGGCAAAACGGTTTGAAAAAGACGGGGAAAATCCGGAATATTTCATGCAATGAACTGTTTTCATTACAAAACAAAAAACTAAAATTAAAAATTTTGTAAACGATTTACTGATTTATAAATGGTATAAATTAATGTTAAGGTGGACTCTCAACTTAGGCTCAAACCGTCAGACACACCGAACATTTCAGCAACATTCCTAAGTCGCTTGTGTATCGTTTTATTACTACAAGTATTATGTACATATCAAAATTTGGTCCCGAGATGTTGGGCCGTCGTTGGGCCGTCGGGAGACATTTAATATATTTGTTATTTATTATACAACTTGGTTTAATTATCATTCAATCTCCTCGCATGGACAAAATTTGAAAAAAAAAATAACAACTCTGCCTCTTGTATATAGTCTTTTATCATTTCTTCTCTGTTGCCTTTAATGTTCGGTTGTGAACGGCTTTAAGCCTGTCATCAGGATTGTTTGAAAACTTTTTAGTGGAAATAGTCTTCAAGCCAAAATAGCTGCCCTTTTGTTTAAACAGTAGTAGTTTTTATATATATATATCGCATCAATAGCCATCCAGAACAGCTTCCTCTTGCCTGCCTGCTAAAAGTGTTTTCATAAGTTAGCATTACGCATTCATTGTTTTCAGTTCTGTGGGACAAATTCTGACTTAAGTGCAATTCATCCATACCTAAATGTCCTTCATGAAAGAAATAAAAAAGTATTTTTGTAATAATCACCCAAAATCATCGCATTTCATTGTTACATTTGTCATTAAATCATCTATCAAAATAGAAAAATCAAAGTTTTCATTCTTGTCATCCTCCCATTCATGGACGATGTTCGAATTAGCAGGTGTGTAAGAGGAAGATGCCCATTTATTGATTACGATTTTTATTAGAAGCTAATATTTCGCTTTAGTATTAACATTTAACCAACGACTTTTGTCAGAGCTGCATGATCCAACAAATTTAAAACCATGAAACTGACTTCTAATATCTAATTTTTAAAAAAAAAAGCCCACGTTCTTAGAGAGAGATAATATTCTAGTTATTTCTACCCGTAGGCCGAAATCTCTTGGCTTCAAGATTATTTCAGATTTAACTGGCTCAGCAATTTTTTATTTTATTTTTTTTTTTTTTCTTGTGGCTGTAGGAGTTGAAAAACCAATCAACATACTGATTGATTGTCTTTTATTTTATGTTGATATGGAACCAACGTGGTGTATTTCCACCCATTTTCCTAAAAGCACCTGTAATCTTTTTTCATAGCACACAGTGTCTGTATTTTTTGCAACAAAAACTGTTAGGGAAAAGGCGATGGTTTTTTAGTACAAGTGGATTTTTGGAGTCTTTTTCTCTTGGTCTCTTTTGATTAAACAACCTGAAACTCGACACATTTATTGGAAACAAAATATTATATTTTTAATTAATTTATTTATTTATTATTTCTTCCTGAGAGCGAGTAACTAAAAAGGTTTATTTTTTAGTCCTAGAACTAAAGTTTAATCAGAAGAAACTTAGGGGAGAGTTATAATGTTGATATAAAAAGCGTGTATGTGAACGGCTAGGATTTTTAGGGCGACAGTTGTTGATGTATGTAGATATGATTATTACGATATTTATATGGCTGACTGTGTAGCATCTGTGTATTATAGTCTATTAGTAGTCATATTGTGTTTTTGGCATGAACTATTTTTATAGTTGAAATGAAATTTAAATAACTTGTAAATTTGTTCAGAATACTCCTTAGTCTATAAAGCATTAATAATTTATTCAAAAAGTGAATATTCATTCCAAAAAATTAATATATTATTATTATTATTACTATTATTATTATTATATATATATATATACATATTCTATAAATATATATTTATGAAAGTCAGATTCTGTGTGATATCTGATTTTATTGTGTGTCAGTATTTTCTACATTTTTTAATGAAATTATAAAAAGTCTCATCGGTTACGAAAATTAGGGCTATCACTGGAAACTTTTCTGTTCATACATAATATATATATATAAATAAGATTTGTAGAACATAAAAGTTTCTGTCGAGTGAATGTTACTACGGTTACGATATATTGAGGACAGGTGATTGAGAGATATGGTGAAATAATTGTAAATTTTTACAAGAGAACATTAAGGAATTTTTTTTTTTGAGAAAGACGTCCTTTTTCTTAAGTCAGAAGTTTATATTACTTAAATTGTCCTAATTTGCATCTTAAGCTGTGAAAAAAAAAAATATGCAATCATTTTTGTGCAATTTCCGTGTTTTACCTTATAAGCAATAACGATCATAATTACCGCCCACTCAAGAGTCATTTCATTTTACACGTTTTCCATTTAGTAGATAGGTCAGTATCAAAACAAAATTAAATTTTACGTAGAATTCAAGAAAATTAATTTGTCTTCAATTTTAGTTTTATTTCATGAAAATTAATTAGTCTTCCATGAGAAAATGTTTTAGTCCTAGTTTTGTTGATTTGGTTATTTATTTATTTATTTATATTTTTTTTTTTTTTTTTTTTTGCTATTAAGTTGAATGATGGTTTGTTAAAGATTTTAGGTAGAAGGGAGGCAACTCCAATAGCATAACAGCGTATATTTTGTTTCAAAATTAACTTTTCAAAATTAATATTTATAATATAAAATATATCGTCTTTTATCAATCTTTATTACAATTAGGCAAATGACCAATGAACTATTTCACTCGTACTTAAGTTCTTGGGGTGAAAAGTGGTCTCATTATCTTTTGCTTTGGGATTTTTCGTTAAGTCGTTCTTTCCCAGTTATTTCATTTCACCATTTGCTTTGTTTCTGAAAGAAAGAAAATAAATATTTAAAACAAAAATGCTCAAGTATCTTTATTTATCTACTGGTATATAAAGTTGAAGCTTAATATTTATGAAGTTGGTTTTTTTTTTTTAGAAATATATGTTGCCCCTGCCATTTTCTCGTTGTTAGGACGTAAGAATAATATAATAGTAAGGGAAAAAAAAGACTTGAAAATCATTCCTAAATTTATTAATGAATAAAATAAACACGAATAGCGCGTTTAATTCCTCATATTATTAGGGATTTAACAACAAAAGGCAAACCAGGGGTATAGGAAGAGCATTTAAGAAATATGCTGTAGCATAGATAAAAATCATTCATACATTTATTAATAAATATAATAAATAGAAAAAAATTGTCGAAATAAATTTGTTAAGTAGAAAATGGTAGGAATCAATTCTGACAATCTCTAGTACTGAACTGTTTTGTAGGACATTTATTTCTAGCAGTAGAATGTTAACTGGTTTTTATCGAGTTAAATCTTTAATTTAAAATCGCCATGTGATTTCTGTTTTTCACAGATGCTTGGGTATCGACCTGAACTGGATAATATACACTGAATTCAAAGTTTGTATAGAGAAATTCAATTGGACAAGGTTTGAAGAAGGCAGGCCAATCAGAGATTGCCTAAGAAAAAAAAACAGGTTTTGGGGTCAATGCTTAAATACAACAGTTGGAACTGTATTTGAGTTCTGTGGTAGCCTTTGACCAACTCTGTACAAGTCATACTTGAGTTTTTAAAACAAAAAACAATTGTTCATCTTTGATCTGCGACATGTAAGAGGTTTTTTTTTTCTTCTTGGAAAATATCCCATTTATTGTTTTTATTTTTGAACCTCATTCAATATATTGTCCATCATTTGATCATACTTATGTCTTGTCTTATTAAACTAAAAACAGAGTCATGTCTCATTCTATATTATATGCTCACTTATCATTGTGAGATATGAAATATAAAAAAAATACAAATTTTCAAGAAGATTTTTTTTTTTTTAAAAATCAAATTTATCTGTTTACTGTTCGGACATGAAAGTTTTGAAATGGACGTTTTTACTTCGTCATATCTCATCGCATTTTGTGTCTATTGATGTTGAGTTGGTAGCCATTTTGTTTATAATGTTACTAATTTTGATGGATGTATGTTAATGTTAACTTGCCATTTTATTTGTACACAGAACAGGGTGAGCAGATGTAAAAGTTAAAACAAAAAAGAGTTTCGTTCATATATTATTTAGATTATGGATGGAGATTTACCTCAAAAGTAACTTATTATTAATATAGGGGGGCGATCCATGCTCACTAGTCAGCGGGTTAGGGTTGTCATGGTGGTACAACCATCTCTTTTGACCTTTACTTGTCCACGGAAAAGTGGCACATTAAACCCCCCCCCATTTCATTTCACTAGTCTGTAGGTTCACTAGTTCGCATGTCGTGTTTCAACCGTTGATCTCGACTTATCCGTGGAAAACTGGGATGTAAAATCCCCACTTCATTTCACTAGTCTGCGGGTTCGCATGTTTGCGTGTTGGGTTTATTGTTCGGTTTGACCTTGACAAAAATGTCTTAAACCATCTGTGGGGTTCAGGGTTTTATTTGAGCACCCATATTTATAAAATGTTGTACAGCGGCTGACTAGGGAAACCCTTTCATTCATTAACTTATCACTGCGGATAAAACTTCAGGCAAAGTATTTTATCATTTATTGAAACACAATCTAAGCTGGCCTTAATAATTGTTCTATCATGTATAGGATTTTTTTGAGTTATTTCTTTCAGTGCTTTTCAGTGGGAATTAATTGATTAATTAGAATTATCCCTGATATTATTACTTCCCTGTTGTTCATATTTTAATACTGTATATCAAGTCCTTGTAAATGTTGTCGAATATAATTATAATATATAAAACCGTAAGTAGCCAGATTTGGATGTTTTTGATATTAACATATTTCCCCCGTGGATAATTGAATATCCACGTACAGGAGATCTGTCATATGTCTATTATTGCTCGCCCTGTGTAATGTGTGTTTTTTTTTTTTTTTGTAAGATATGTTAATGAAAATGAAGAGGATATTTTTTACACCTATATATTCACGGTTATATTATTTAAAATTAGCCGGCCCTATTTAATCCACCCTACTCTCACCTTTCTAGGACACAGGATGTTTATTGACATGTAGCATATCACAGTTCAAATCGGTCATTAAATTCACAAATCATCTTTTTAGAGGCATTTAGTAACTGGATAGAGCAATAAGCTGTGACACATACTTATAGAAAGCGACTATTAATATTTTTAGGCAACGTTTCAAAGAGCTTTTTCTCAGCCATGTTTGGAACAGTATTTTCTCAACGATATTGGCGATGAATTAAAGAGTATTCTCACTTTATCAAGTTGAATGACGATTCTAAGAACCGTCGCCAAAATATATCAGTTGCTGCTTGCCATAAGTATGGGTTATAGTTTAAGATTTACAAAGTCCATAGTCTAGTAGAATACTAAACTGCTTTAAATTTACCTTTATGGTATGACATACATGACAAAATTCTAAATGTTTTTAATACACTATTTCAAATTTTGGCTGTTATCTCTATCCATATCGGTAATTCCTCTAGATATTTCTTTCCTCTAAAAAAAAAATTGTAGAATGATCTTTATTAATTTGTTTCTGTATATATGTGTATATATATTTAAAAAAACTTTTTATATAATATTAGAATAAAAAATGAGAGATTATTATTATTATTATCATTAATTAGAAATTTCTTTATAACTTTTAAAAAATAAATCTCTGCTACTGGTCAGTTTTAAGTTTGTAAAACTAACTTGCTCAAATAATGAAAATGATCAGTGACACTATATATATATATATATAGATTAGTAGATAAAAAAAATGCATATCAATTGATGGTATTTTAATGACCGGAGTAGATAATTAAAACCAAGAGAGTAGGGTGAAACTAACGATGTAAATGTCTCTGTGTTTATATTTTTAGCGAAAAAGATCTGCAATGCTTTGTAAATTATGCAGTCTGATGTATTTTATTTTACTTTTGTCATGGGTTTATATTTTTTTTTTTTTTTGTTCCTGTGATGTTTTTCAAATGACCTTCATTCATTTTACACACACCTCCTCTTCCTCCCTTGCCAACATGGCGGAGAAGAAGGAGATTCACAATCAAAATGTACGGCAATATTGTACTATATCTTTAGTCATTTTGTATTATTCATGTGACAATGTTGGGACAAGCAGACAGACAGATGGATGTATGACCGACCCCCCCCCCCCCCCCCCTCGAGTCTGTTATACTTTATAAGTTATTACGTATTTTTTTTTTGTATAGAATGTAGCTGTGTATGTCAACCTTTTTAGTTTCTCTCAAAATTTTCAAAATGTACGTCCTGTTATGAGAAAAACGAATTGTGTAGAATTCCGAGGGCTATAATAAAACAAAATATCTGTCTACTGTTAAATGGTCTTTGTTTTTTTATTAATTTTTAATCAATACCTTGTATTGAGTGGAGGTTAAACCTCATCTCTTTCTCACTATACCCCCTGCCTAAGCAGAAAATGATAATCAAAGAAATTCACCTACTGAACATCTACTCCTGTGTGCACGTAAAAGATCCCTTGGCAATTGGAATTAGATATAAGAGTAGGCCATAGCGCTGCTGTCCGAGCAAAATTTCCCTCATAGCACACTGTATTGTGTAGGCCCGTCTTCATGAGCCCAACGTTAAACCCAATTTTATTTAACACAAAATGAAGAACAAAACCAGGGTTTACAAGAAAAGACACAATAATGTGACCAAGTTTAAACATTCTACCTCTATTAGAAACAGGGATATTGTGTTTTAATTTCTCACCTATCACATTATGTCTCTGATCCCCAGAATTCACCTAATAAACACCTCAGATACAAGCGGAGATATTGTGTCCCAAACTGAAACCGAAAACTACCCTATTCCACCAGAAGTCGAAATGGACCAAAGCAAATTATATATTACCTATCAAGATTATCCTACTCACTGGCTTCCATATTAATTATTGGACAATAAATCCACAAATGGTTGTTACATTCCTCTTTGCAAACAACTTTTTTTTTAAAAATATAATATACTGTAGTTTATTTGCAAATACAAACATATAGGTATATGCGTACATACAAACACGACAAATTATACAATTTATGAATCTTTTCCCAGTAAAATCTAAAGTATTTACAATTACCACTGAAATTAAATTCACTACAGAGTTATAAAAATATATGCATGCTATCTTAGGATAATAAGTCCATGTCACAAACAACTAATTTAAAGTGCTTGATTCTGTTGATAAACAAACCAATTGTAGCCTATGGCTGTTTTCCCCGTTTTAATTCCTAACTCAATATATCACAAGCATTGATCACATTTATCTTTTTAGAGCGATAATTTCATATTTTCTAAGAAAGTCAAAACATAATTATTTCTATGTCTTTTGCTCAATAGGTTATCAAATCACTATTATACGATCATGGGCATTATTTCCCACCCTTAAAAATCTATGACACAGGAAATAACAACACAATTACCTCCCCTGTTTTGCTATTGACAACATGGGGCAGCCATTTTCCAACGTTGGAATTTGAAGTTAAAAATGATATTTTTGCCAATTTCTCAGCTGGCAATAGCGAATTATAGGATTATTCTTTATCAAGGTAGGACTGTTTATGGATACCATCTATTTTAAGGCTTTATTTTAATACATTTTAAAAATATAACTTGAAAATTTGCAATTGCAACTTTAAATAGCATCAGTAATCCAATTGTTTATCACTCTGCTTAACCTATGCAAAGAAAAGCCCATCATCACTCTATTTTACCCCAATATCTATACCAATCACATTGTTGACCAAAGTAGAACACACACATTTTCTGACTTTAATATTAAAAACAAGATGAGCAAAATGATGGTAAACCGAATATAGGCCTATGTACGTATATTTTACGTAAAATCACCGTCGTCATGTTATTTGGGAAACTCTAACAACTACGTCACGTTTGAACATTCTACTATAATTAGAGGTAGAAGCAGAGTTAGTTCAATAACGTTTCACATAAGCTACAACTGCTTAGTCGAAAATGTTCACCATCAACGATCGAACTCGGGCTAAGTTTGAACGTTCTTAAATGGAGTTACCTCCCTTTAGACGAATTTTTCATTCAGCAATCTAAGAAATCTTTTATAAACGCATAAATTTGTGACCAAATAAAACAAATTGGGTGGCCTTAAAACGAATCTTTCTTCGCCAATCCCCTAATCGCAATCCTCCACTTTTCGACTATCGGCCTTTTGCCTTGTATAATTCAAGTAGGAGTTTGCCCTCATGTAGTTTAACTGGGGAATAAAACTGTCATGTTTTGATGACGATGGTTAAGCCTGGGACGAATATCTTCCGGGGATGGTCAGACCTAAAAGCCTAAATGTGAATACCTTTTGCCAGTGGGGAATTAACGTCCTACATTACTGCACCAACTCGGCTAATGAAGACCGATATACACCAACGCGAACTAGTGTGTTACGAGGGCAACTTCTTTCCCCGGATAGCGGTACACAGAACCCCGACTCTTCGCCGGAGAGAGAGATGGGGTTTAACGTCCACTCGACACAAACTAGGTCATTTCGGGCCTAACATAGTTTAATTTTATTTACATAATTCGCTTGCGCGTAGGGGTCTTTAGCAGTGGGAGGAAACCGGAGGGAGAGAGAGAGAGAGAAATTGGGTTTAACGTCCACTCGACACAAACTAGGACATTTCGGGACTAACATATGGTTTAATTTTATTTACATAATTCGCTTGTGCGTAGGGGGTCTTTAGCAGTGGGAGGAAACTGAAGGACCCGGAGAAAACCCACGAGGTTGGACAGGCGACCCTACTCCTTGTCACGTACAACCGGGATTCGAAACCACGCCAGTCGACTTAATGACAGGCCTTATGATACGTGCTAACCATTTGGTCATACACCCCCCACACACACACTTTTCGCCGGACAAAAGTCCCGAGATGTAAAGAGGGTTAGCACTAATCCCAACCCTAACCATTGACCTAGCCCTAACCTACAATCTCGCCCACAATCACGCGCCCTAACCTTATTTACATCTCGGCGAACTTTGTCAATTCAATGCTTCAAAGTGCCTATTCAGTTCTTCAGATTTGATTTTGGAATATGACCATATAGTTCTAGCGTAGCTTTTCGTTTGGGGGTTATCAAATGTAAAAAGCACTCTAACCGGGCAGTGGTCGCTCAAACTTGCTTCAAGAACATTTGTGGAGTGAACGAAATCGGGACAGCCAACTAAAACGAGATCCTTTACTGAAATGACATGAAATGAAATGGAGTTCAACGTCCTATTGTGCTATGAGGGAAATTTTGCCCGGACAGTGGCACTATGGCCTACTCTTACATCGCATTCCTACTGTCAAGGGATCTTTTACACGCACGCCAATGTGTACACGGGGCCTCGGTTTTTCGTCCTATGTGAACGACTAGACAGCTGTCATTGTTTGGCCCTCCGTCCTGCATCACTGACAAGGGGGAACCACGACGAAAAAACTGGATGAACTTTCTCGGCCAATGCAGGGATCGAACACCCGACCTCCAAACTAGCGACCCAGGGTCTTACCTACTTAAGACACCGTGATTCCAGATCCTTTACTACACTAGGATCTGGAAGAGTTGTTCTGGTTGAAGCGAGGGATTAGTCAACGCTGATTGATTAATAAATGTCCGACATCATAGGGTCAAAAGCCGCTCGTACAACTCTTGACGCGACCTTCCATTACAACTGGTCAGATCTTCATGTAGCGTAGGCCATCGAAAGTAAAAAAAAAACGAAACGAAATATAAATCTGTATTTTAAAGGGACAATAACACTCTTGCTGGCTTGACGGCTCCAGTAAATAGATCTTAGCCTTATTCTAAGTATTACATGTTTCAGTGTGCTACCTGTTGTGTAAATTATCCATTACATCCTATTTTACTTGTCCAGAGGGTTCGAAAATATTTTTAAATCCGAGTCACATTTGAAAAGGTTTACGTATGGCTTTTCAAATTATTTAGTTGGATTTTTCCAATTTTTTAAATAAGGTGTGTTAAGATGAAATTTGTATCATCAATTAATTGAAATATTGTAAAATAGTACAATTTGTTGACCAGAATAAAGATTGGGACATATTATTCAGTTACAACAAGAGTGGTATTGACCCTTTAATCAGATTGATCTACCAATGAAATCTACATGACTTCCATCTTTGGAATTATTTTCTAGTGCTCCTAAACCTAGAATAATTGTATTTTTCTTCCTTCTTTCAAAAAGAAAAAAAAAACAAAGGATTTATTTTCCTAGAATAAATGTATTCTTTTCATTTATTTAAAAAAAATGTCTGAAGATTCCTATTTTTTTCCCTGCGATTCTTAATGTTATAATGGAAATGATTAGAACTTACTGATCGCCTTCAATTGATGACGACAAACCTCTATTAAACAGGTGACATTTCCACTTCAGGTGACAGATATTGCCGTTAATTGTCAATGGGTAATTCACATGTCAAACGTTCTTTCAGCTTTACGGTTCCGGTATCTGTCTTTCAAAAAGGCTAACCTGCCATACTAAAGGTGATGAAGTTAAAGGGAAAGGTATTTCCTCTAAACCAATCCACGGCCATATGCCGGAAATGTAAAGACTGCAAACTCGTTTTTAAATAATATACTAGTACACAGGGCCGGCGGAAGCATTTCTTGATTGGTGGGGGGGGGGGGCTACCGTCTTAGGGCCTTAGGCGAGGGTCCAGGGGTCGCCTAGGCTATTAGGGATTAGATCGTCCGAGACGCTTTCTGACCGATTTTTGGCTAATAAAATTAAGCAGCAATGAAGTGAAATTTTATTTCTTTTCTACCCCCCTTAACATGAAAACACAATCTATGGTGGTTTAATCCTGTGATGCTGAACTTGACAAAAAATGCATAATAATACCAAGGTTGTGGACATTCTAGAGGTCACATTTTTTATCCGATTTTGATGAAACTTACAATAAATGTTAAAGCGGAAATTGCAAATTTTTATGTTATATTTTTAAAATTTATTAAAATAAAGCCTGAAAATAGATGGTTTTCCATAAACAGTCCTACCTTGTTAAAGAATAATCCTATTAATCCTATAATTCACTATTGCCAGCTGAGAAATTGGCAAAAAATATCATTTTCCTCTTCATTTTGAAACGTTGACAACCTATTGAGCAAAAGACATAGAGATAATTACGTTTTGACTTTCTAAGAAAATTTGCAATTTCCGCTTTAATTATCGAACGATCTCGGTTCCTTTCGATATTGGCGCACATAGGACCGCCCCTTCCTGGATTATGGCCCCTGATTGTAGGAAAAATCACATTTTAGTTTGTTGGCCCTGTAGAAGTAACAGTTTCTATTTTATT